CACATTTTCCCTCATCCCATATATCCAATCAGTTGCTAAATCTTACTTCTACCTATATCCAAAATTCTCATATCTGTCCTTTTCTTTTCCCCTCTCACAGACATCACCCTAGTTCAGACCCACCTGGAAATTAGGCTCCTAATTGGTCTCCCTATCCCAAGTCTCTCCTCACTCCACCTAGCAGTCAAAATGATTTTCTTAAACCACACAGCTGGCCATAACACTCCTCTTTTCAATAAACCTTAACGGTTTCCTTTTACCTCTTAGGACAAAAATTAAACACTCAGGACTTTAAACCTTAAAGCCTTATGTAAATGTCAATTATCAATTATTATAATAGTAAGAACATATATATACATATAATTATTATCAATTATTATTACAGTAAGGATACTGAAAAGATTAAAAGAATAGGAGAGGGCAATAGAGAAGATTAGAGGAAGGATGGGATAAGAAATGAGCCTCCACATGTAAAGAGTTCCCAGCTCTCATTTATGCAAAGAGTATTTGTGTGTAATGGTAGTGAGCTCATGTAATGTAATACTAATATATGTCATCAGTAATTTCTCTTACAAGTCTAGGACAGTGGTCTCCAAAATGGAAACCAGGGCCTTCTGGAGGACCATGGTCTCACTATAATGGGGTTATGGACTGATCCTAAGGTATATGATCAGTTAATCAGAGAGTTAGAAGATAGATTGAATCCCACTCTCCCACTATAGCCAATCATGGATCTTGTCTCCAACATAACCATACCTATCCTTATTCACCAACACTCCTCCACCTTGCCTTTCCCCTCCTTCTAAGACCAGAAAAGTTAAAACCTAACCACTTCCATGGCACCCATAGCAATTTCACAGGTTCCATTAGGAAAATTACTACACCTCCATCAAACCTACTTCCTATCCTGGCTCTGATAGGCATCCTTCATATGATGGATTCTACATTTCAGAGTAGGGACCAGAGAGTAAAATCCACTTCCCCTATTCATTTTGGATGGGACAATGTTCTGTAAGGATGAGCAGGATTTATGAGTTGTTATATATATATATCACTGCTAAATGCATTATTCCTGCCTCCCCCTGGCCTCCAAGCCACACTTCTTCTGAACATCTCAGTTTCCTCAATTGTAACAGGATAATAATAGCACCTACCTAGCTGGGTTGATGTGCCAAATGAGATGTTGGTAAAAAGCGCTTAGCACATGCCTGGCACATAGTAGGCTCTATATAAATGCTTATTACCTTTCTTTCCTCTCCCTCCCATCTAGAATTGTTCTTGAAGGTGGGACCTATTTGTTTTATGTCTTTGAAACCTTAGTCCCTAGTCCATAAGCACTTAAATCTTTGTTGTTGCCTTTTGTTGTTTAATTGAATGACAATTCAGTTAAAGATAATGAAATCCCCAAGCTCCATTTGTGTGACAATAAAGATCTGGATAAGTGAGAGGTACCCAAAAGGAGTCCCCAGGTTCTTCTGAAACAAGGTTCTTCTGACACTCTCTGAAACAAGGGTGACATACAAACCCATTATTGGTCCCCCACTACCCCTCAACCCACCTTAAGAACAACATCCTTAAAATAATCCTAGTACTGGAGTCACTGCTCAAAGGGTTTCTATAAAGATCAAATTAATTCACAGATCTACCACTCACATCTGCGTGGGGTAGGGGAGATGAGTTTGAGCATACAGACCTCAGTCTTCTACCCACCAAGTCCCCAGAAAATATGCTATGCTGTTTTTTTTTCTTTTCAGCCAGAATTTGGCTGCAAAGAGTTCTAGATTTCATTTAGATTTGCAGACCCACATTTATTCAAAAGTATTTATTTCCACAAATTTTTATCCACAGCTGAATATTACAGTGACTATTATAAGCATTTTCCTATAAACAAAGGTATAGTTTACAGATTTGTTCAAAATGGAAAAATATTCTTTATCAGTCTTATTTCATCTATGATATCTGATTCACCCCCCTGAATATCATTGAAACTCCTTCAGAGAGAGACTGCTCTTTCTAAAATATCATTTGGAGGCAAAAATGTGACATCCAGCTCTGGCCAGGTTTGATGTGCACCTTAAGAAAATGTTTAATTTTATTTCAGATTTATCCCATTTAAAAGTATTAAAGTTTATATACTGTAGGAAAAAAGTTTTTCATCCAATGACCTTTAAAATAAACAAAAACAACATCATCTTATCATTCTTAGTATTGTAAAAAAAACTCTGTTTCTTTCTCCTCCCCAACCCAATTATGGTATCAGGGTGGCAAAGAAGTGAACCATGAGTATTTGGCTGCACATGCAACGATGTCTGGCTTAGTTCAATAACACCTGGTGTGGAGAAAGGTTTCTATGAACCAGGACTAGAGGATCCTACCCTGTGTTTCACATGTTAGTAGCTGTTTAGTGGTGAAGGCATTATGTAGTCATTCAATTATGATACCCTTGTTGAAGGATATCAGGGAAATTAGGGAAATTTTGTTGTAGTGTTTAATATTAAATGAAAAAGCAACAACAGATCCCCTTCCCATTTTTTTTATACAAAGGGGTAATTCAGACAACTGAGATGTGCTGATTGACTTGGTTGTGGCAGTTGATTGTTTTTTCCTATCTTTTTCTAAACTTCTAAGTGCTTTACAAATAACTTAAAAACTCAGCATTAGAAACTCCAAAGGAGCCACTATTATTGACATGCCCCAAGGAAAGGGGGAAGAAAACCCTATGTACATTTGTGTACTGCAACCTCCTAGCTGTTTTAAACAACTATAGCAGCCCAGATAGAATGCATATGCCAGGAAAAAGATGTCTTAACAGTGTCAGCAAGGATTAGTTAAGGATGTGCTATGTACACACAACTAATTTAATATAATGGGATATTCTCACATAATTCCTAAAAAGCCCATCAACCTAAAAATGATGTTATCTGCAAATATTTTTTTTTCTTCTGTGATTTTAAAACATTTCAGAATGACTCACTGGATAAATCCTAAATCCACCACAATGTTATGTAGAACATTAAAATTCTTCCCACAATAATGCTTATTACAGGAAAATAACAACTGAGAAATCAGTTACCTTAATAATAGTTGAAGGCACAGAGTGGGAAAGGTGCTCATCTGAGATATTAACAAATACAGATCTCAACCTTGTCATTATCATATTGCACTATATTCTTAAGTCAAAATGCCATTCTGATTTCCATGGAATTGGGGATGTTTGGGTGAATAAAGCTGCATTAAATGTGCTTTTTAAATGCAGGGAGTAAAAATAGTTAACAAAAAATTTTTACATTAAAGATACAAAAGAATCTCTTTCCAAGCATAGGCTAAGTGGTAAGTTAAATATTACAGATCTAAACATTAAATAGCCAATTTCTATACTAATGTTCTATAAAAATCTTATGGTTTTTTTTTAATATAATACACATAAATTAAATTCTTTACAGCTCCAGCAAAACACCATTATCCCTTAGGGAAAAAAATAAGAATGAAATCTGTAATTAATTAGAATATCTATGCAGGAAAAAAAAACCCTTTAGTACATTATTTCCATTTTATTCTAATGGCTAAGCATTAAATATTGTAAATCCTTGGTTGCTGCTGTGATTTAACTAAGGACCCTTGAAAGATGGACACCTAAACTTTCTGAGGAAGATAATGAGTTAAGTTAATTAAGTTAAAGCTGATAAGTTAGTTAAGGATAGGTGGCAGTAGTTGCCTTCATAGACACCTTTTTCTTTAGAAAGCTAACATTTTTCTCTGTCTGGTGAGTGGACAGAAAAAGGTTTAAGGGAAGCATGGAAAACTTATGAGATGTCACTTGTACCTTTTAGCTAGCAAAGCCCAAAGGCACAATCAGATAAAGTGGGACCCTGGCTCAGAGGGTTTTGTGTTGGGTCTCCAAGTCCTGCCAAATATGGAAACATAATCCATGCATAAGAGCATACACTTAGGATAGCGACAGTGAAAACTCATGTTTGCCATTAGGGCTTGACCAAGTAAATGTGTTGAGTTTTTAGGGAAGTGTCCTATACTGCAAAAGGTTGGACTAGGTGAAATCTAAGATATCTTCCAACTCTTAAGAGTCTCTGACAAGCTGCTTTCTCTTCTCTTGAAAGGTAATGGTAGCCTTTACACATAGGAATAATTTTGAACTAAAGTGCCACAAAATCATTACAAGATACTTTTACAGTTATTAAGGAGGTAGCCACAGAAGTGACACTTTCATACTAACACTGAAAATGAAACTGGTTGGTGATGCTATGGATATTATCAGTGATATGTATCTATGAATGAATGAATCAGAAACAGTTTTAATTCAGCAGATACCCAAAAACAAGTTAGAGTGTTTGTTGTGGAAATAGAGGTGGTCATGTTAATGAAGAATTAGGTTTGATATGATTGTCATCATAACAAGGGTAGAGTGTTCTGCTGTTCCGAGACCACATGGATGAGGGTGATGATAGAGGTGGGGGCCTGGAAGAAGGAAGGAAGTAATTGCTTGGGAGAGGTGGTAAGCAAAGAGGTATGCATCTGTTTTCAGGGCCTTTTGTTGTGGGCTCCTGGGGGAAAGTGGAGTTAAGAATAATTGGATCATGTAACTAGTAACTTGTGGAATAATTAACTTCCCAGTTAAGAATCAGGAAGAGGGATCACTTCTCTCTGGTTAGCAAACTATGATTTCCTGCACTGGCAACATCCTTCTTCATACTGTCACCATCTATTAACAGACTTTTGCATTTTTTTTAAGAAGGAAAGTATATGATGAAGACAGTAAACAAGAGTACACAGTATAAGAGGTCATGTAGAATTTTCAAAATAGATGCTTTCTTCTGAAAAAATGTCCATATATAGTGTTAGAAAAAACTTACTTGTAAAGTGACAAAATTTGGGTAAGCGTTATTAAGTGCTGGAAATTCCATCCCCTTATTTTCTAGCAGGGAGATTTCATATGCCTTTAAAACAGTAACTTTGAAAAAATGTTTGACACAAACAGAAATGGATGAACAGTGTCAGATATTTTACTGGAATTTTAGTGGATTTAAAAAATGTAGCAACCAAGTTAAAACCCAAATCTATATTCATTGTTTTCGTATATTTTCAACCACTCATAAATCGCCTTTTGAGAAGGAATTTAACTGCCTAGGGGATGCTGAAATGACAATGGAGTACTATTTGTGAGCTCTCCTGTCATATTAGAGAATAGATAAATGATATTTTGGGATTACTAGTCTTCCCACTGACATTTTCTTTCATAAATGACAACAGAACTTGGGGGAATTGTGTACATAAAAATAGTGCCTGGTCTGGATGCATTCGCTGTGAGCAAGTTTTGAACATGAGAACATCTCCTCTTATAGTTACTTAATTTGGTAGTTGTCATCTAAGGGCATTGACATGTAGCAGCTTCCTAAATTCTGAGACCAAGAAGAAGTCTTTGGGCATAAAGGGGATTGTACCAATGTGGCATTTTTGCTCCAAAAAAGCAAAGTTCAAAATACTACTAAGGTCTGGGGAAAGGATGAAGAGGCCAACATTACTGGCCTCTGTAGTGGGAAAAATGGGTAAACTCATCCTGGTCACCAGGTAATCCACCACAAACCCACAACATAATTTCCCCTGCTTCCTACAACAGTGGAAAGGGGAGTGTGTGTCAGCGTCAAAATGATCATTACCATCATTTGTTAGAAGCTCCCTGAAGGCAGTTTAAACTTCCAGTTTTTAAGCATTAAATAGCCACAGAATGAAGATAAAAAAATTGGCCAATGCCTGCTTGACGAGATTGGTACATTGATTATGGCACTGGGAAAGTCACTGTATTAATTGCTATGGACTGCACTTGTTTAGTCTGAAACCAAACTATTTTAAAAAACCTGTATTTCAAGTATTCTTATTTTGAACTATAGAATACAAAAGAAAAATAATCACACTGAAGATATGTGCCTGATTCTGGACAGTTCAGCACTCTGCACAGGTTCTTGGGCTCTGGCTTGGTCTACTTTTACCACACAGAGGATGTCCTTCAATTTATGTCATTGTTTTCTTTTTGCTTGAACTCACTGGGACTGGAGCCAAGACATCACATGGGTCTTCACACTTCATTGAGGAACTCCAGGTTGAGAGCCGCAGGGATGTGAATTGAGTCCATGGTCAGGGAGGATGGGTTAAATGGGAACAAGACGGGGAACATGTGCTTGAAGTCTAAGAGCAGCTGCTGAGGGTCATTTCGATCTTGTAGTTGTGCCTGAGGAGAAGGAAACCATTAAGAATTCTGACATTGCCTTTATTTCAAATGATGTACTGTACCTTTAAAATAATTAGGTCCATGTATAATGTTTAACATGTCCTAGGAAAAGTCTGGAAAGTAAACTGGAGATCAAGTGGTCAGGGACCACATTTATCTTAAAATCAAAGGAGATATAGATGGAAAGAACCTTAAGAATCATCTATTCCAACCCCCTTATCCTATGGAAGATGAAACCGAGGCCTAGAGAAAGGGGAAATGACATTCCCAATGTCCTAATGTCTTAACGCACGTAAAAATAAAAAGTTCTTGGTTTCTATATAGGATTAAATTATGGCATATTCTGAGAAACATAAAGAAGTGATTCTTGACTGGAAATGATAAACTCTTTCCTTGCAGATATTTTAAAACAGGAGAAAAGTACCAATCTAGCATGATTTGAGGATTCTTTTTTTTTCTTCTGATGAGGCAATTGGGATTAAGTGATTTGCCTAGAGTCAGGCAGCTAGTGAGTGTTATGTGTCTGAGGTGAGATTTGAACTCAGGTCCTCCTGATTCCAGGGCTGGTGCTCTATCCACTGTGCCACCTAGCTGCCCCATTATCTGTCATTCTTAAGCCATTATTTAATAAAATAAATATTTCTGTATGTGTATCTCTACAAATATATCTGTTTATGTATGTGAAATTAAAATTTTCCCCCCATTTTCTTATTTTTCCCCTTCTACTCTGATATTGTTAGATGTGGTTATATAACTTCCTTACATCCCAATAATAAATGAAGAGGTTTATGTTGATTGTATACTTCTAAAATCTGAGAGAAATAGACTGTTCAGGTGAATATTGCCCATCCACATTATGCTAATTTATGCATGGAAGATATGGCTCATTTCTCTACCCAAGCAAATGGATGGAAAGGCAGAAGTCCTTTCAGAGGTCACAAGGCCCACATCACATGTCATCTAGCATCTTCTGCCTTTAAGCCAGTGTTTCCTAGCACAGATAAGTAAGGTTAAGTTATACTTTCAACACCAGTTACTAGTTCTGGAAATGACCTTTTTATAAAGCTGATTAACATTCTCAAACTCACCTGAATTGTTCGTATGAAGGCTACTGTCACTCGTTCCTCAAATTCATTCAGGGGAGTGTAAAGATTGAGGATTTTGACAATCTGTTGCAATCAAAAGAAATGTTGGTCACAAAGAAGGTAATCCTATCAGAACCTGCAGAAAACCTCAAAGAATGGACTTCAATACCCAATACAAATCAAGTCCCGAATCCAGACCCAAATTAGGAATGGACAATAGAGTCTGGGCTGACCCTGATACCTATCAATAAAATTCTCACACAAAATGCAACCCTCAACCATCCCCTCCCCCAATGCCGTTATTTTTATGCAAATGGATGTTTTTGGAGGTAAATGTCAATTTTTTTTTTTTTGCAAAATAGCCAGAATTTATTTTCAAAAGCAGCTTTTAAGTAAAGCTATTTGGAGTCTTCTCTCAATCTCACTTTTAAAAATTAGAAAAATTCTATACTTCCTGATCTAGAATGTAGTTGCATTATAGTCTTGAGTCACATACTTTGTAATAGCTCTATCTCCTCCAACCTGGGAGCTTTGCAATTACTGAGTTTTAAAGGCAAGTATTGCAGTCTTTTGAAAACAGAGCTCCTAGCATTCCAACTTGCCTCCAGACTAAGGCATGCCAGATGACAGCTCTGCCAGCCCAGAAGCAGCCTATGACCATCTCATACCTGCTGCGTACTGAGGGAAGTGCATAAGGTGCAAATGGCCTCGGCATCCTCAGGAGTTTTCTTTTTTAACTGCAGGAGCTGTGCCGCATGGATCAAAGGCTCCATCGTCTCTGCTGCTCCGCTCTGGTGGAGATTCTTCCCTCGAAGCCACTCCTCAAGCTGGCTTATATTATACCTAGATGCATAAGTCAAAAATAGATAATGAAGGTGGTACAGTATATAGAGGACTGGGCTTGGAGTCAGGAAGACTTGAGTTCAAATCCATCTCTAAATACTTACTAGCTATGTGACCCTGGGCAAGGCAACTTAACCTTTTTTTTTCTTGGTTTTCTCAACTGTAAAATGGGGATAATAATAGCATGTACCTCCCAGGGTTGTTGTGAGGTTTAAATTACATGATATTTGTAAAGCACTTAGCATAGGACCTGGCAAATAGTAGGTGCTAAATAAATGTTTGTTTCCTTCCTTCCTTCCCTCCTTCTTTCCCTCCCTCCCTCTCTCCCTCTCAACGTTGTCCTTCCCATTGTCAGAGGAACTTCATTATTTGATTTGGTCAGTTGTCCAAGATGTCCATTTCTCTGCTGCTCACTAATGCCAAATTGTTAATGGCATACATAGCAACATAGTGTTGCTGTCTTTAAAGTTGTTTTGCCCGATGCCTTACTTTCACAAAATCAATTAATAAACCAAACTGGAGTCTTCTGTCTTTGCTTGAGGGAGGGAAACCTTAATCATCTCAGCCGGTACAGTGGAAAGAGCACCGGATTTGGAGTCTTGAGTACTTAGATTTAAACCTTGGCTCTGCCACTGAGTCCTATGTGAATTTTAGCACAGTAATTCACTTCTCCTTGCCTCAGTTTCCTCTTCTGTAATGAATGGGCTAGACTATATGACCTTTAAGCTCCCTTCCAGCTCTGAATCCACAAACATTTCTATGAACTTTAAAAAGTCATATGTTAATTATTACAGAGAGAAATATCTGAGACCAAAAAAAGGACATAAAATATAACTGAAAGAATGATTGTTTACATAAAAATGATTGCTCAACTTGCTTTAAGTAGCAGGTGTCTATGTTTGTTTACAGATAAAAGATTACTTGACAGATGAGAATAGGAGCAAAGAAAAAGCCAGATTATTGGGAACCATTGCCTACTGAAAACCAGGAAAAGAAAGTATCTTTCCAGCTCCCCTGTATGTGTTATCTTCCCCCATTTGAACATAGATTCCTTGAGATCTATCTATCTTGCTTCTGTTTTTATCCTTAATACTTTGCACTGTGTCTGGCACACAGTAAGCAATAAATGATAGTAATGATAGTAATAAAGTAAAAAAATATATAAATATATATGTAAATAAGTATAATTAAAAAATAATTCCTTTATTTATTGAATCTACCAGTAAGTAGATCTATAAGTAAATGAAAAAAATAAATGTAATTCAATTTACACAAGTCTGGCCTGATTTTGTGAAATTTAATTGATGCCCATTTATAGGAACACATCTATCATTTACAATGATACATACTTCTGAACTGGTCATTCTAGAACTGAAATCATTCATAGATCAGTATGTGGGTAAGGGAAGGTCTCAAGTTCTAAACTATAGTACAGTATGTCCTTTTCTCATCTGAAGCTTCTTTAAATCATTCATTCATTTTGACATAGTTGTAATCAGCCTGTTATTTTTTCTCATCTGATTTTTTCACTCTGCATTACTTCACTTCTACCACACCTATTTCTATGTATTCAAATTCTTCACATCTGTCATTTTTTTGAGGGGGGATCCAGTCCTGCAATTTCAACAGTTTGTGTGCATGTGGAGGGTGTAGGGGTAGGGGAGAGAGAAGGATGTAGAAATTCTTTCCATTGACTGTATATGTAACTTACATATAGTCTTATAACTTACAGTCTTAGAAAGTTGCCCAGAGACACTAATGCACTGTCGGTGGAGTTGCGAACTGATCCAACCGTTCTGGACAGCAATTTGGAACTATGCCCAAAGGGTTATACTAGGTCTGTATCCCAAAGAGATCCCCAAAAGGGGAAAGTGACCTATATGTAAAAAATATTTATAGCAGCTCTGTTTGTGGTGGCAAAGAATTGGAAATTGAGGGGAATGCCTATCATTTGAGGAATGGCTGAACAAGTTGTGGTATATGAATGCAATTTTTGTGCAATAAGAAATGATGAGCAGGCAGACTTCAGAAAAATCTGGAAAGACTTACATGAACTGATACAAAGTGAAGTGGGGAGAACCAGAAGAACATTGTACACAGTATCAGCCACACTGTGCAACGATCAACTATGAACTAAAGACTTAGCTCTTCTCAGCAATACAATGATCCAAGGCAATTCCAAAAGACTCATGATGGAAAATCCAGAGAAAGAAATGATGGAGTTGGTATAAAGACTGAAGAATATGATTTTCACTTAATTCATTTTTTTGTGCTTCTTTTCTTTTGGCCTGTTTCTTCTTTCACAACATGACTAATATGGAAATTGACATGATTGCACTTACACAATATATATCAAATTGCTCACTGTCTTAGGGAGAGAGTGCTGAGGAAGGGAGGGAAAAATTTGGAAATCAAAATTTAAAAAAAAGAATATTAAAAATTGTCTTTATATGTAATTGGAAAAAATCCTATTTAAAAAAAGAAAATTTCCCAGAATACCAAGGGGTTAAGTGGCTTGTCTATAATTGCATCATCGGTATGTGACAGAGACAGGCCTTGAACTATCTTCCCGACTCAAAAATTTATCCACTATTCACTATAGCACAAAGCTTCTTACGTGCCAAAATTTGATCAGTTATCTATTAATTATTGGCTACATGGATTGCTTCCATTTTTTTCCCCAATTGAATAAAGCTGTCGGGAATATTTTTATAGAGATAGTCTTTTTTCCCCTTTTAATAATATCCTTAGGGTATACTCCTAAGGGATCAATGAGTCAAAGGTATGTATAAGTTTGTAGTTCTTATTATATATTACCAGATAGTGTTCAAATCCAGTGAATCCAATATTTATTAAGTACTTACTATATTCAAGACATTATGTTAGGCTCCAGGGATACAAAGATAAAAAATAAAAAAAGACCCTGTCCTCAAGGAGCTCTATTATAGGAATATAATCATTTCAAAAAAGATTGCACCAAATTCATAGTGCCACCCACAGTATATAATAGAATGCCTGTTTTTAGACACCCCCAACAGCGACTTTATTGTTTTAGGCTACTTCTGCCAATTTTACTGATGCAAGATGGTATTCACATCATTTTACATTTTATTTCTCATTTAAAATTTTCTTCTTAGGTGGCTAATAAGTTGTATTTTTTTTTTTTAATTTGAGAACTGAGTATCCATGTCTTCGGTCACTAATCCATTGAAGAATCAGTCATCCTGTTATGAATTTATGTCAGTTGCTCATATATTTTGAATGTCAGATTTATATCAGAAATTTTTTTGCAACTTCACTTTTGTTAATGAGGTTTTCTTTTGTTTTCTTTCTATTCTGGATGCATTGTATAAAACTTCCATTTTTACATATCAACTCATTTATATTGTCTTCTATAATTTTAAAAATTTGTTAAACATACACACACACGCATGTATATAAACATTTTTCTCCTCTACACAATTATCACTGATATAACATTGTTTTCTTCTGGCTTTTAAAAAATGAAGTTTCTCTACTTGAAATTTTTAACAGTCTTTGTGGCAAGATGTGGCTTTGATCCCTCTATTTCCCCAACCCCCACCCCCACATAGCTACCCAATCTTTCTAATAATTTTTATTGAAAATTTATTCCTTTTCCAGTGCTTTGGAGTCTGGAATATATCACACACTAGTATGTTATATGCTTTTGGTTCCAATTCTCAATTACCTATTCTGTTCCATTGATCTATTTTTCTGTTTTATAATGTAGAACCAGATGGTTTTGATCATTGCTGCTTTATGGATACCATTTGAGATCTAGTAGTGTGAGGCCTCCTTCTTCCTCACTATTTCTCATAATTTTCCTAATATTCATGTCTATTTGTTCTTCTGTACACATTTTGTTACCATTTGACCAAATTCTAATGAAATTGTCCATGGGTATTTTAATTGGTATTGCATTATACCTACAAAATAATTTGGGTAATAGTTCCAGCTTCATGGTGTTGATTCATTTTAACCATGTACATAGACTCTCCAAGTACTTAATCTTTAATTTCCTGCTAAAGCTATTTTACTTTTATCTTTATATACAGGTAAATGTTTACCACCTAAATGTCAAAATGGTCAGTTTCCCAGCTCTGGAAAGCCGTGGCATTCTGGTTTTCTTTTTCAGGGATAAAGCATCTAAGCACAATGCCTCACTCACAGAAAGGACTTACATGCTTGCTGAACCGAGTTAAAGTCCCTGCTTTGTTGTTACAGTTTGGGAAACTTGTGGTGTCGTGTGTTGCTGTATGCACTGTGCATACCCCTCTCCTCAGCCCTTAACTTACCGGAGTTGCATGCCTGTGCTCCAAGAACAGACGTCCTTCCTCAGGAGGAGGTTGTTGAGGGCCACAGCATTGATCATATAGAAGAGCTGCTTAAACACCTGCTGGATGATCTCAGGATCCAGGCCCTGGTCACACATCACACTGTGAAAGGAATTCATCTGGCGTACGATGGCATCCAGGCTATAGGAATTGTCCCCGTCCACCATGCTAGAAGACCGCTTCCTGTAGCCTGTTGGCTTCACTCCAGACAAACCCTGAATGCTTTCATTTTCCAACATGGCAGACACTAGGAAGAAAATAGCAAGTGGGCTGAAAGATTTTCCCTGTGAAACAAGATTACCCATTCTTATATCAGCCATATTTTCCAGTGTCTCTGGATTTTGGTATAGGACACCAGAAAAATACCCAGAGGCACAAAAGTTATAAACATGCCTGTACTTGAGGTAGCTAGGTGGTAGAATGGATAGAGCACTGAACCTAGAGTCAGGAAGACCTGAGTTCAAATTTGGCTTTAGACACAGCACAGCTGTGGGACAACCCTGGGCATGTCACTGAACCTCTATCTGCTTCATCTATAAAATGGGGATGATAATAATAACATCCACTGCCCAGAGTTATTGTGAGGATAAAATGAGGTATTTGTAAAGAGCTACACAAACATTAAAGTGCCATATAAACGTTTGTCATTAATATTATTATAATGTCCTACTATATAATATTATTATGTCCTACTCATCCTTGGCATTGAAATTCTTACCCAAGAGTCTCCATGACGTCCAAGGAGAAAGAGAAGTAAAGACTGCCAAATACCATATAACATGAGGCAAGTCTTTCAAACAGCCCCCTGGGTTTCAGGTAGCCCTATATCTGGGGGAAGGATGAGGAAACAGGGGAGAGGGATTAGAGAGAAATCATTGATTAATTATGTTTGCTCTGGAAGAATCTGGGGGAAGTTATTCTTTTCTTTTTTTTCTTTTTAGGCAATTGGGGTTAAGTGACTTGCCCAGGGTCACACAGCTAGTAAGTGTCAAGTGTTTGGTCTGAGGTCACATTTGAACTCAGGTCCTCCTGACCTCAGGGCCGGTGCACTATCCACTGTGCCACCTAGCTGCCCCTGGGGCAAGTTAATCAACTGATAATTCAGTTCTCCTGCCCTGTGAAATAGACTAAATTAGAATTTTGCTATAATATAGTTTATTATAAGGAAAAATATGGTATAAGATGGGTTCTTTTAGGAACTTCCTTGTCCAAGGAACTCCAAACACTTTCATTTCATTCCATGGAAGCCTGGCTTGGACTCCTAAAGAAAGGTAGAGTCAAAAACAACAACAACAAACGGAAAGGTAAAGTCCTGGCTATTAACTTCTGTACCTGTGTATAGCTTGAGTAAACTGGCACTTGGCTGAAGAATGAAAGCAATAGCATCTAGAACAAAGGTATTCAACCCAAAGTCCAAGAGTTTTTTTTAACTGAAAATTGTTTTAATATAACTGGTTTACTTTCTAATTTTAAGTTTTCTATTTAAAAATTATTCTGAGAAGGACCCCATAGGCTTCATCAGGCTGTCATAAAAAAAAAAATTAACAACCCCTAATCTAGAAAGTCCCATTTACTCTTTCTTGAATTTGAAAATATAAATCTCCCTCTTATTTTTTAGCTCTGAATCTTAGGTAATCCTTACCATACTGCTACCTGGTTATGTGCCTTTTATAATAAAGCAGGAATTTAATGAGTAAGCTACTAGGTGGGGAGCACTGAAATCTAGGAATACTGAGCTTGGACTCAGGAAGACCTGAATTCAAATCTTGCCTAAGATGTTTCCTAGATATGTGATTCTGGGTAAGTCATTTAACCTTTCTAGGCCTCAGTTTCCTCATCTGTAAAATAATAGCACCTACCTTCCCGGGTGGTGGTGAGGATAAAATAATACTTGTAAAGCATTTTGCAAATTTTAAAGCACTATATAAAAACTATTATCATTATTATAAATATCTGTTAATTATTTAAATATATTCAATTAAATATCTGTTAAATAGCTCAAATTAAAATAGCATTTATATAGCATTATATGGTTTATAAAGTATAGTTTTCTTTGCAACAATCTTGAGAGATTATTATTTCCATTTTACAGATGAGGAAAAAGGGTCAGAGAAGTTAAGGGAACTATTTACGGTCACACTGCTATTAAATGTAACATCCAGGACTTGAACCCAGGACTCCTGGCTCTGACTGCAGGACTCTTTCTATTAAACCACTGTACATCTCCAATAAAAGGGAACACTATTCCCAGGACAATTGTCTTCTGAGTGACTGGTAGAGTCATACCTCCCCAGACTAACAAGGATCTGATCGCCTAGAGAGACGCTTTGTAGCTCTTTGACAGGGTGACATGGGTCTAGGTGCAGTGTGGTTCCAACTTCATCCTTCAAACATAACCACATACAACACTCTAATACCTGGCAATTACTAATCCTATTGAGAGTTTATAAAGTTTTTTTTTCCAACTCTATTTGTCAAGATATATGTAAATAGCATTTTGAAAAAGGAGTGTTGAAGCAAATACTAGAACCCTTGCACAAGGCATGTCTTATTTTTCCTTAAACATAATGTAGATTTCCTTGGGAAAAAACTACAGTGTTCTCTGGGGACTCTCCTTGTATCTGTTGCATAAGCTTTTCTGAGGGAGTGGCAACATGGAGCAGGTTATCCTTGGCCTCAGTTCCAAACCTCACAGTCATATGATTTGCGTAATACCCACTTACCTATCATTGGTTGCAACATGCCCTCTGCTATCTTAATGAGCTGCTGGTAAATCTGGATGGAGAGATCACTTAGGACTTGACGGTATTCAGTGAGGTCAAAATTCTTAAGACAGTGTTCATTCTGTTTGGGAGTGTTCTGGGTCATGAAGCCCTGGTGGGAGAAATACATTGGGAGAGTTCATGTGACAGCCATCCCTTTGCACTTTGGACCATGGTTGCCTCTGAGAGTCCTTCATTCATTTGGTTCAACACTATAACATTCTATATTCAGCTATAATATTCTAATATTAGAATTTGGATGCTATTCATGCAATGTATAAAAGAACAAATATGAAAGAAAAATCATAGAATTTTGCATCTGGGAGGGACCTTGGCAATGCTTTAGCTTACCCTCTTTTTTATAGAGATGAGGAAACAGTAGCATGGAAAACTCAAATGACCTACCCCAAATCACAGACCTGGCAAAGTTGGGAACAGAACCCAAGTACGATGGTATGTTAAATGCTGCTCCCTAAGTGCAAAAAGTCACAGGATCATAGATTTAAATCTATCAGTAACCTCAGTGGTCATTAGTCTAGACTAGACTAGTCTAGTCCCTTCATTTGACAGATGAGGAAACAGAGGCCCAGAGACATGAACTGGCTTCTCCCAGGTCACAAAGTTATTAATTAGTAGACAGTGATTTGAATTTAGGCCTTCAGATTCCACATCTGGCATGTTTTGCACCATAGTCTGGAATTTCTTGTTTTGGCAAAAGATGAAAAGGTCTCTGTGTGGTTGTCCATCTTTCTCTTGTTAGAGGATAATAAGGTTTGAAAGAACAGCTTTTTTTTTTCTTAAGAGAAGACAGTAAAGCCATCTCCTAATAAGACCTTGAATTAATGCTAGAAGTGACCTTAGAGATCCATCCCTTCATTTAACAGAGAAAGAAATGGAATCTGAGAGAAAGGAACTAACTTGCCCAAAGTCATACAACAATAATGAGGAGAGATAGAATCAAATTCAGATCCCATAAATTTAAATACAGAGCTCTTCCACAAGTTCTGTGATGGGAACCAAGTTTCTCTTGCTATTTCATCTGTTCTTTTTAAACACCATCTGAAAACGTCCACATGCCCTTTTGAGTACTGCCCAAGCTAGCCTTGGGACAAACTCAGCTCATTTGACATACTGAGGGAGGCAATGTGGGAAAAGATTCTACTATCAGCTGAACTTGGTGAAGAACAAATGTTTTAGTCCCTGGAGGTCAGGGTACAGCCAATTTAACAAAAATTCAAGATATTTTAAAAAAGTACATGGTAGGTTTTGCTAAAGCCATGGTATGATAGTTAGACAGCTGGCCTCAGAATCTGTAAAAGTGAGACTTTAGTCCAGACACACAATAGTTACAATGGAGCTGGGAAAAGTCATTTATCATTTCAGTGGCCCAGGCAACACTCAAGAATATAAGTTGTAGGGGCAGCTAGGTGGTGCAGTGGATAGAGCTCCTGCCTTGGAGTAAAGAGGACCTGAGTTCAAATCTGGCCTCAGACACTTGACACTTACTAGCTGTGTGACCCTGGGCAAGTCACTTAACCTTGACTGACTTACCAAAAGAAAGAAAAAAAGAAAAAATGGGGCATAAATATATACATACATATATATATATATATATATATATATATATATATATATATACACACACAAATACATACATACACACATATATATATATGTATATGAAGAATGTAAGTTGTAAAACAGCTGTCAATCTGCATTGGTAGACAGAATTTCTCCACTGGGAGGTCTCTATGCCAATCTAGATATCAGAGATTTAGATTAAAAATTATATTATATATATGTGTATATCCATTTATGTGTGTGTGTGTATATATATATATATGTATATACACACACACACACACACACACACACACACACATACACATATACACACACTTTCCTCCAATGCCTCCTTGTGGCATGGAAGTGATCCTGGGTTATTAAAGGTTATGCTTGTGGAACACAAATGGTTTCTACCAGTTTAGAAAGGGTTCAAATACCACTGATGGACCAGCTCAGCTAGATCTGAGGAGACTGACTCATGACCAGTCTCAATGCAGGGCAATGATATTTCTTTATTTTCTTATTTTCCCTGTTACTTTTATCTTTTCTCCCCTTTCTCTTTTTTTCTCCTCCCTCCTTTCTCCTTCCTCTCCTCCTCTCTCTCCTTCTCCCCCATCCTTTTTCCTCTCCTTCCTCCTCTTCTTTTCTCTTCCTCTCTGTCTCTCCATTCCTCTTCCTCTCAGTACTGATGTATTTAGTAGACTCTGACCATAATGTCTCTCTCTTACCTCATCCCCACTGTATTGCTTCAAGCAATGAAGAAGGCGGCATGTATTGGATAACCAAAAAGATGTCATCTCAAAGTCATCATTGTGCTTCTGGAGGGGAAAAGAAATTTACTGATTGATGGCAATCCATCTATTTTTTAATTATCTTTTGATCTTATTTAGTATTTAAATAATATTACATAAGATATATTTATCTTATTATCTTATTCTCTTATATTTTATTCCATTTTTCATTCTACTGTGCCTGTTTCTCAGCGGTTTCTACTCTATTATCCAACAGGGCTTCAATTAAATAATGATAACCCAAAGATGAGGCTACTATCAAAAAGTTATTTGGTTGAGTTATTTCTCTAATCACAAGGATACGTTTTTAGAAAATGCTTCTTTCTCACCCAGTCCCCCAGTGGCACACATCTGTAAGACATCTGTCTAGCATTAAGGGTGGTATCCATGGCAGCAGAAAAACATGATATTAACTGGGCATATGCAAGGTTTGCACCTATGGCACAGTCCTTCTAAACCCCATACTTCAACCAACTGAGCTAATGCCAGCCAGATACCTCATATATATGTAGTGCTATAAGGTTTACAGAGCATTTTCCTTATATCCACAGTAAAGAATATAGTTTTCCCTTCCACATCATGGGGATTAGGGATGGTGCTCCTGCAATCTGGAAAGTCTGTGTAAAATTTTCTGGCCCTCCCTTCATATCAGAAGAAAAGTCTGAATTATTATGAGACTAAAAGATAACACATGCTGATATTATACAATACTATACATATATTTTATGCATTTCTGAGTTTCTAAAGTTTTTCTGTGTCATCTGCTGGCCTTCACATGTTGTCTGCAGCTTCTGCAAAACTCTCTCAAAAAATTCCTACTTAACTTCTTATGCCAACCTGCGATATATTGAAATTGCAATGGGAAAAGCCACAATGTGGAAGGGATAACTGGGATATTAGGAAAACACAAAGACCAATAACGGTTGTATAACCAAAGAACCAAGAGTGATTGTATACAGAAAAGGCCAATAAGTACTGTAACACACCAAATGGTAATAAGACATTACCCAGCTATGAAGGTGATGGTGAGACTATGTGGATATTGCTTGTATGTCTATGAGATTTACATTGGTAGATTGTAAAAACATGTGTTCTTTGGGATCCACTATCCAGGAAGGAACTTCCACCTGGGCCAATGACTCAGAATAACCACAGGTAGAGAAATGGCTGGTTCCCAGAAGTCAGAGAAAGGAAAAATGTGTAACACCTATTGGCCCTCTCTTGTGTCTATCATTTCAGCCAATGACTGTGGAGCTAGGATAGGATTACAAATTCAGCCAGGGAAATAATAGTAACACATAGTCAGTCCCAAAATTCAGAAAAATTCAGCCAAGAAGATAATAGTAATCCATAGTGGGTTCCAGAAGTCTTAGTGCATTTTTAAGCTAAGACTTTTGAGATACTGTATAGAAAATTAAGGTTTGCTGGGAAGTCTTATATGAACTGATGTAAAGTGAATTGAGCAGAACCAGGAGAACAATGTACACAGTAACAGCAATGTTGTAACAATGATCAACTGCAAAAGACTTTGCTATTCTGATCAATACAATGATCCAAGCCAATTCCAAAGGACTCACAATGAAAAATGCCTTCCACCTCCAGAGAGAGAACTGATGAATTCTGAGTACATTGAAGCAAATTTTTTTCAATTTCTTTATTTTTCGTGTGTGTGTGTGTGTGTGTGTGTGTGTGTGTGTGTGTATTTTCTTTTAGAATATGGCTAATGTGGAAATATGTTTAAGTGACTTCATATGTATAATTGGTATCATGTTGCTTGCCTTCTCAAGGCGTCATGGAGAGGCAGGAGAGAATTTTGGAACTTAAAATTTAAAAAAGTGAATGTTAATTTAAAAAAATATAATTGGGAAATATTTAATGAAATAAATAAAAATACATTAAAAAAGAAAATTAAGGTTTGCAAGTGCTTTTCTCATAACAACTCTGTGGGGCAGTACAAATATCATAATCCTCATTTTACAGATAAAGAATTTTTTTTTACACTTAAAATGTAGATATTCCCCATGATTATGTACTTTGCCCTCTCCTCTCTTCCCTAGCTATCTCTTTCATTCATATAGCTTCAACTACTGTCTCTATGAAGGTGATGCCCAAACTTATATTTCCAACCTCACTTCTGAGCTCTATGCTTGCGTTTTCAGCTGCCAACAGAAGAACTCCATCTGGATATACCATCTGCACCTCAAATTCTGAAATCCAGCTAATCAATCTCTTCTCACAAACCTGTTCTTCCTTCTGACTTCATTATGTTTCTCTGTGGCACTGATATTCACTTAGTCTTTAGGTTATCTTTGATTCTTCCCTCTCTTGCCTGTCATATCTTCAAAGTTACCAAGTTCTATTGGCTCCTTTTCTGCAATTTCCCTCCATCTATCCCCTTCTCTCTATTCCTACCACCACCACTCTGGTATAGATCCTCATTACCACCTGCACACACAATTGCAATAGCCTCCTATCAGGTCTTGTCTCCATTTTCTTCCCCCTTCTTTTCCTTCAATATGTCCTTCATATTCCTGCTAAAATAGTCTTTTTGATGAATAGACTGCTTGGCTCAAAAATCTTAAGTGGTTCTCTATGGTCTTCTATGTAAGTTCAAACTCCTTAGCCAAGCATTCAAAATCCTTTATAGTTGGCATTACCCTCTCTCCAGCCTGAACTGCCACAAACTTCAGCCAAACTAGTCTACTCTCTGTAGAGAGTAACCCAAACACTCAATGCACCTTCCTGCCCCCATGACTTTGCTGGTACTATTGCCTTTGCCTGGGAATATCATTCCTTCTCTTATCAATTAGCATTTATTAAACAATCATCCTTTTAATAACAGTTCACATTTATATAATGCTGTAAAGCTTGCAAAGTTCTTTACATATATTATCTCAATTATCTTCAAAGCCCAACTTCAATGCTTCCTCCTCAATGAAAACTTCCCTGGGGATCCACTTGTTGTTAACAATTTACACTCACCCACCAACCTCACCAACTACTTGGTTTTGCATCTCATTTGTGTGTGGTTATATATTATCATAATCTCTGTGTTTGTGCCATACGCACCACTAGATTATACCCTTTTTGAGTACTTTTTTGTCTTCCCTAGTGCCTAGAAGAGGCTCTGCATAAAACAGGTGCTTAAAAATGTTTATTGAATGAATTAATGAACCGATGAATGTCTGGTTTCATAGACAATAGCATATTTGAAGCAATAAAATAAAAGGAGGTGAGAAGGGGAGTTAGAAATCAGGTATTATTTCAGCTGAGCAACTAATAGCCAAATATCACAAGAGCAGACAGACTGAAAAACCAAACACAGAATTGAAGTACAATAATGTATGTTCATGGCAGTGGCCGTGAGTCATTCTTAAAAGGTGATATTCCTTTCAGTATCATCTGTTTTAGGAAGCAGGAAAGTGTGTAGTCCACTTTTAGAAAGATTTCCCTTAGAAAGGTTTAAAACCTAAGTTGTGATGCTTGAAGAGGTTCAGTTTCTGTTAGCTGAGAGATGAGCTTATGTGAAGTTCTCATTCATCAAGGATGGTGAATATACAAGAGGTATACAGCTGGGTCATATGCCTACGACGAAGAAAGTTTTCCTAAGAACTCTCCCTTTCTCCTCTTCCCCTCAAAGTGTAGGCAGGCTGAGTTCTATTTATTTCGAACACCAGATTTCCTGAAGTTATCTACCTTTAGTACTTTCTTGATGCCATTGATGGTTGAGGTGAGCAGGGAATGCACTTTCAGGTCATCGTTGACATAATCTGCATGTCTGATGCACATGTAGAGGATGTAAGCAGGAAGACACGGAACCGTGCCTGACAGAGCCTGCGGTTTCAGATCTATCAGAAGAATAAGAAACATAGGAGTTATTGTTAGGAAGAAACCTCCGGTTGCTACAGTCTTGGCTTACCACGGAAATAAGTGTTGTAAAAAAAAAAGGGCTGTAAAAACCAAGAATAAAGCACATTTCAATATCAGTTTAAACCTTACATGGTTAAATTTATGAGAGGTAAGGGGTGGGGCAGACAGACCACATCAGTATCTCACCTTGCTCTCATAACTGCAGTGTGCATCCTGGAGGAAGGAGCTGAACAAGTCTGTAAATACACCTGATGCCACTTTGCAGATTTCACGGCAGCCTCTGGGCATGTCAGCTTTTTTTCTGTTCTCTCTCCTTACACTGCCCTAGACATGAGAGCTCACACAACAGGCCACCACACTCATGCCAAGGTAGAGTGTGGGTACATATTTCCCCTAATGAAGTTTCAGCAGCTTTACTATCTAAAGTTTTTTTGGCAAGACTGGATTTCCTAAAAAATGCTACTATACAGAATTAATTCACCTAGGTTCTGGATTTATTTTTAAACCTTTTCTTTTCATTGTTTGGACTGCAATGTTCAGGTGTTCTCTCTGGCCCTTCAGTTCTATATTAGTAGAGTAAGCAAGCATGAAACCCATGGATCCTTGGTACATTTGTGCACCAAGAAAGGAGTTTCTAGGCAAGGAAAAGGCTTATATAACCAAAGAAACAAACTGATATAAAGCTAGCTTCTAAGCCTGCCCTGGAAAAATACCCACGGCATAAAATTACTTTCCATTTGACCACCACCACCAAAGCTAGATTTTTATAGTGTCTTACATACATATGATCGCATTTGATCCTCCCAACAACTCTGTGAGACTGGTACTGCTGTTCTTTCCATTTTTCAGAGAAGGAAACTGAGGCTCAGAAAGGCAAAGTCATTTGCTCAGGGCCACACAGCTAGTTAGTACTTAAAGCAGAATTTGAATCCAGGTCTTCATGACTCAAGTTCAACTTTCTAGCTACAACACCATGCTGCAAGTCTTGTGTGCCAAGGTAATGTGACAAAGGGGTCCAACCCCAAAGGTAGTGTGATTCTGCCAGGTGCAGGGAGCGACTAAGGACTGATCTCCTCCTCCTTTGATGCAATTGCATTTACTATTTGTCTTAGTGATTTAACCATTGTTTACTGTCTGGTGGCAACTTTTACATTATTAATATTTAATGTGTGTTTTTAGTGTCTGTCTTACACTTATTTACTTGTATCTATATATTTTTTCTACTTCTCTCTCCTCCTGCCCCCTCCCCCCAGTCCAGAATCTGATGCAATGCTGAGTGTAAAATTAGGTGTCTAATGTATTTGTTACTTAACTGAAAAGAAATTCTTTGGGGACACATTATAGGGGAGAACTAATTAAATTCCCTAAGTAAGTTAATAGGTTAATGTCTACTCTCCCTACACACTAGTCATTTACAAGGGACTGTGTTATGCTTTCTAAGAATCAAATACAAATAGGGTCACACAGCTAGTAAGTGTCTGAGGCCGGATTTGAACTCAGGTCCTCCTGACTCCAAGGCTGGAGCTCTATCCACTGCACCACCTAGCTCCAGATGCCCCTGGAGTCATTTTTTAGGGTCCTTTTCTCTCTTAATTTGACATCATGAACTTAAAAATCTCATGTTTTATGTTTATGTGCTAAACTGCCAAGAATTACATATTAAAGACTGGACTCTGGTAGAGTTTTAAACCAATATTCAACTTCTACATATCACCCTATGTTAATGCCATATTTAATGACTGAGCAGACTTCCATCTTTGGACCCACTGGGAAAAATTCATCTTTATAAGAGGTGCTAGGCCAGCCTCTAGACTTAAAAGGTATATAAAAAAAGCCCAAACCCACAAACCAAACAACTAGACTATAAACTCCTTGTGGGCAGGTTTGTGTATTAAACCCCTTATATATCTCCACAGAACCCAGGAGACTAGGTGCTCAATGCATTCTTTCTGCCTGATGGAGGAATGATTATCTCTGGAACTGGTACAGCACCATCTTCCTTCTCTCTCTTCCTCCTCTCTTTTCTTTTGAGATCAGGCCTCTCTATCTTGTCCAGGATGGAAGTACAGGGACTCCTCAAGGGCCCAGTCTCACTTTGATCATCTCAGGAATTTTGACTTGCTCTATTTCCAACCTGGGCTGGTTTATCCCTCCTTGGCCACCTGCTTCTCAGGGGCTCATCATGTTGGTTCCCTACATAGTATGGACATCCAACTGGCTTGGCCTACTACAACTGGAACTCCCAGAGTCAAGAGAGCTGACATCTTCCACCTCCCTGGTGGTAGAGATTATAGGAGGCCACCACCGTGCGGGCCACTATTCTACTTTTCAAAGCTCTTTCATCTCTCTTATTCATTTGCCCTTCATAACAGCCATATGATGCAAATATTTCATATTATCTTCCCTTTATATGAGAAAATAGAGGTATAAAATTTTCCCTAAATATTATTTTGGCTGTATCCCACACATTTTGGTATGTTGTTTCATTGTTGTTATTCTCTTTAACAAAATATTTATTTTTTCTAAGATTTATTCTTTCACCCCCTAATTCTTTAGGATTAGATTATTTAGTTTCCAATTAATTTTAATTTATCTGTCCATGGCTCTTTATTCAATATTACATTATGATCTAAAAAGCATGCATTTAATATTTCTGCTTTCCCACATTTGGTTATGAGGTTTTTATGCTCTAATACATGGTTAATTTTTGTATAAGTGTCATATACCACTAAGGAAAAGGTACATTTGTTTCTATTCCCATTCACTTTTCTCCAGAGGTTTATCATATCTAATATCATATCACATCATATCATATCATAACTTTTCTAAAATTCTATTCATTTCCTTAACTTCTTTTATTTTTTGGTTTGATTTCTCTAGTCACATGAGGAAACAGATTAGTTCAATAACTCGTTTGGGAGTCACTGACAATGAGAAGTAGAATCCAAATCTCCCGACATAGGTCTTCCTCTAAACTCCAAGGTTTCCCAATATAGCTGCCCACATAACTCCCTCTGTTGTCAAATAAGCCATGGCCGGAAGCAGCCGGGGACATCAGCGGAGAGAAAGGCCTTTTAGAGATCTGAAGCTAGGATCTGCTTGGAGTTCATGAAAGGGAAGAAACTGTTGAGAAGGGCATACAGTCTGCAAAGACTTCCCTAAGAATAAATCTGGGGCTTCTAAAAATACACGTATACATATGCACACACACTTACATACATGAATGCAAGCTGAGCCTGAAATGCATTCAGCCCACTCTCTTTCTAACTTATGAGGGAAATCCTTCATCCACTTTTGAGACACCCTGAGTCCACTGTTTTGCTCTTATTCTTTGTTTGAGTTAGGTAGTAACAGCTGGAGTAGAAGATTCCTCAGTAGTTAGTGTGATGTTCACTAATGAATCATTTCAATCCTGGCACTGTCTACAGCTTTATGCCACTGAAAGCATTTTTGCCTCTAGGAGTCAAAGTATCAACAGCCCAGCCCAGAAATCACAGAGAGATTCACGCTGGCCTTGGGCTTTGCACCACCCTAGCTGTATCAGCGCAATGCAATTCTCTTCCTCATACTAAACTCCCCTTTAACATAAACCCCAGAGGGCTAACCCTCTTCAAATCCCCACAAGCTTAGGCTCAGATATAACCAGACCCATTGAGGACCAACTTTCCATTTTATCAAATTGTCCTAGAGTTTCCAAAGCAGCTGCAGAAATGAGAGGGTCAGGAAACCTTCTCACCTGTCACCAAATTCCGAACGAGAAGGGGCTCATCTTCTTTGGAGTACTCCAGCATCCCTTGGAAATCCTTCTCCTTCCTCTGGACCGTGACCTGTCTGGTAAGCTCATGCTGCTTTCTCTCACTCTGTGCTAATGCTTGGGCAGCTAAACAAGGACAAAAGACAAAAAGAAGCATTAATTAATACTGTCAGATAAATTCCAGGACCAGCTGGGAGGCTAGTGAGAGGATGATAACCAGACTGTTGTTTGTTGTTCGTCCTTCATTGTCTTTTTTTTTTTTTGGTTAGGCAATGGGGTTAAGTGACTTGCCCAGGGTCGCACAGCTAGTAAGTGTTATGTGACTGAGACCGGACTTGAACTTAGGTCCTCCTAAATCCAGGGCCAGTGCTCTATCCACTGCTCCACCTAGCTTCCCCCATCCTCGGTTGTCAAAAAAGGACCACTGACATCAGGAAGGTGATGCCTTAACTTGCAAGTGAATTGGAGGCAGGGCCGTACAGAGTCACCAGCCTCAGTTTCTCCTCCAGAGCCATCTAGGTCCAGTGACAAGATATAGATCAGGAGGACTGATGATGGCCCCAAATGCAGTGGGAGACCTCGGCCTTTTTAAGCTAAGATCTTTCCCAGGTCTAAGTTTGTCTAAGGCAACACCCATTCAATTAAAGGTTAGATAAGAACTGAGGCAAAAGATGTCCTAATTTGCATTCACAAAAGAATCAATCTGGGAGGGGAAGACCCTTAACCAGTGAGTGGAAGTGACACTTTAAGGCTTTCGGCTTCCCTGGGGAGAGTCTCCAGCTGTTCCCTACACACTGCCTTCTACAATTCTTAATTGTTCTAACAGGGTATATTCCCTTCAGGGCTGGGACTAGCCCAGCTACCTGAAGGACATAGGACAGCAACCTTAGTAACACTTATTGGCAGGCTGCTCTTTGTCCCACTTGGGATCACAGGAGAGAGAATGGGCTCAATCTGAAGCAAAAGGGCATTTAGGTTAATCAGATGACCATGGGAGTTATGAGACGGTACTGCAAGTGGCTACAGAATTCAATTTAATTTCATATGCATCTGATTATATTTACTATGAGCCATGAACTGTGCTAGACATCAGGAATAAAAAAAAATCCTGACCCATGATATCATTGATATAAGGAATTCTGAATGAGGAAACTCCCTCTACCAAAGCACCTGCTCAGCAACTTATAGAGCTAAAGGGGACGTTGAGAGGCTAAGTGACTTGACCAGGGTAACACAGCCAGTATGTGCTGGGATAGAATTTGAACACAGGTCTTCCTGACTCCCAAGCCAGCTCTCAATCTCTAGATACTATGATATAAACATAAAAATGAAAATAAGAATTATCGTCTCTAAAAAGTTGTAATGAAGGGTAAGAGGGAATCACTTTTATGGGATGCTTCACACAGAGGCCCTAGGGGCAAAGGGCTGGATTAGATGACCTCAAAGGACTAAGTCTACCTGTGTTTGAAAATTCTGATCTCTCTACGGGGGATGTATAACATTAGGGATGATGGGTGGCCTTTCAATTCCATAAGAAGAAAATGGGTAATGGGAAGCACATCTTTTGGTTAAATAATTCTAACCTCAAAACTAGGCATTTAATAACAATCCTTGTCCATGGGTCATGGGGGTTTCACAACTGATAGGTGCTGGGCTTTCTAGAAGCAATTAGTTAATTTTTTCTTCAGCTGGTTAGCTCATACATGGAGGGCCTTGAGTCTCCCAAAGGCTAGGCAGGTTTCTGGAAAGACTCATCATCTAACTAAGCTTCTTGTATCTTAGTAGCCTACAAAAACAAAAATGAAACTAATTGGCTTGAACCAAGTGAAAGAAACCTTGAGGTGTTGACATAATGCATGAAATGGAGACTCCCCATTAATAAACTTTCACTGAGGCCATGAAGACACAAAGACTTATCAGGCATAACTACTTTCAACTGATTGATCCATGAGTTTCAGACACAACTATATGCATATAGATAACAATATAAAAGTATGCTATGTTAAATGCCCAAAAAGTGGTGAAGGTAGAATATACTAAGAGGCAGAGACTGAAAATTCATTATAGCTAAGGTGGTTAGGGAACAGAGAGGCTGACAGGGATTGTGGAAGGGCTTTATCTTACAAGTAATGGAAAGTTTTCTAAATAGTGGGGGACATGTATGGGTACCTAGGTGACTTAGTAGATAGAGCACTGGGCCTGGAGTCAGGAAGACTCATCTTCCTCAGTTCAAGTCTGGCCTCAGACATGTACTAGCTCTGTGACCCTGGCCAAGTCACTTAAACCTGTTTGCCTCAGTTTCCTCATCTGTAAAATGAGATGGAGAAGGAAATGGCAAACCACTCCAGTATCTCTGCCAAGAAAATCCCATGAAGTCACAAAGAGTTAGACACAACTGAATGACTGAGCAAGAGGAAACATGTATGTTGAAGTTCTGCTCTTCCTTCAAAACCCAGCTCAGGTATCATCTCCAGGAATCTTTGTCCTGTGTCTAAGAGTGATTTCTCCTCCTCAGATTTTCCTAGAGCACTTGTTTTGATCTCTTTGCCCTTATTACAATGTATTTTGTAATAGATTTTATGAGTATACATTCTGTATTTACCTAGTCGTATGTTAGCTCTGTGGGGAAGGGAAATGTGTCACTTTCCTCTTAATTCCTCCCCACCCCCAAGGGCCTAACATAGTACCCTATACACCACACTGAGGTGCCTAATAATTGTCTGTGAAAAAGAACTGACAGAGCACTCTGGGTGGTGGTGGGGGGGGAGGGAGAACAAAACAAAATCTTGATAAACAGAAGAAGTCCCAGAAAAGGCAGGAAAGTTCTTGGCAGAAAATAGGAAAGAAAAATTCAGTTTCCCCAGGTAAACTCACAAAACAACTACCCAGTTGTAGACCCAGCCTTCTCCCTCTCCCCCATGCCCAGCACCACCAACTCTCATTATTATGAAGTACCTTCTAGATCCTGGACTTTCTTCATATAAATCTTTAATTGTTTTTTCAGCTTCTTCTCATTCTTTTCCAGCTTTTCTACCAATTCTTTGAGGTCCTAAAACCAGAAGAAAGAAGTTAGAAGAGAAAGGGATATCAACTTGACCTGTGTTTTCCAAGAAAGAGGCTCATCTGGACCCTGCCAACAGCTGTCCCTGAAGAATGCAAGGCCCTGTCGGACAGCCAGGAGCCATGCCTTGCCAGGAATCCAGGTCCAATTCAGAGTCTGTTTTCACATGAAAGGCAGGACAAATAGCTTTATATTGGAGCCTCCTGGCAGCCTGTCAAATCCCAGTTTCTCACGTTACCCCACTAACCCTGAAGGAAGTACACACCCAACCTGGGTGCACACAGCAGGTGCACCCTCTAAAGGAATGGATCTGGGTAAGGTATGTGGATTGCAGAGCTGAACGAGAGCAGTCAGAGCCGAGGGAGAAAGTAAGCTAGTGGCGGAGGCCCCGCTGTTGCTGCAGTCCCACCTGGGTCCTCAGCAGCCGCTGGCAATGAAGCTAGTTGAGCAGTGGCCATAAGGGACCTGGAGCAGCTGGAAGTGAGTTCCTTGTTATTAGTGTCATCTGCTACCTTTCCCTATAGTCCATGAAGTAAGTGGAGGGAGAGGCTTTTCTCTTCTTTCCTATCCTCAAGTACAATGGCAGATCAGCTTGGTTCTCCCCCTGCCCCTGCTGCCGCCATGGCTTCCAGCTTGGTCCTTCTCTCTCCCTCCTCCACCCCTTCTCAATGAGAGAAGGCAGGTATAACAAAGGTAATATAATGACCCTCTAGGAAACTCATTTGCTAACAGAACCTGGGTGCTCTGGATGGGGGCTCTTTGTGTGTGTGTGTAGCAATTGGGGTTAAGTGACTTAGCCAGAGTCACACAGCTGCTAAGCGTTATGTGTCTGGGGTCAGATTTAAACTCAGGTCCTCTTGACTCCAGGGCCGTTGCTCTATCCGTTGTGCCACCTAGCTGTCCCAGATGGGGGCTCATTTTAAGGGCTGACTTAAACCATGCTTTCACCATGGCAGATGACTCCACTTACGTTTCTGTCGCCGAGGGTAATCATTTGTTTGGTTTAAGGGAGATGATCTGTCTAATGTGGCTCTGCAGAAATGGGGGTGTTTTACAAGTTTGCAAACTTATTTAAATTTTCCACATCTTCAGCAGGAATCCAAGCTTAATCAATGTCTTCTTAATACCTCGTAACATTTCTTTTGGATCATTTGTCTAGTTTTTGGTCTTTAGCCACGTGTATACCTCTCCCTACCCCACATATAGGCAGCTAGGTGTCAGCTAGGTGTCACAGTGGATGGAGTGCTAGGCCTGGAGTCAGGAAGACTCATATTCTTGAATGCAAATCTGGACTCAGATACTTAATAGCTGTGTGACCCTGGGCAAGTCACTTAACCTTCTTTGCCTCAGTTTCCTCATCTGTAAAATGAGCTGCAGAAGGAAATAGTAAACTATTCCAGTATTTTTGCCTAGAAAACCCCAAATTGAGTCATGAATAGTCAGACATGACTAAAATAACCAAACAACACGTGCATACATATGCCAAAATTTGTCTATACGGGTACATGTAAGTTTCCCCTTCCACTCTTGGTATGAATTAATCTCTCTATTTGTAATCAAGGCTGTTCTGAGAACAGGGTGCAGATGAAAAGATGGAAAATCCATAACAGTATTGCATGACCTAGACTATGAAACCGATTCTTACCATGCCAGTTAGACACAAAGCCAAGAATTAGCTCTTAAAACTTAGTCTGTGGATCACTAGGGGCCTGGTGAGATTCTTAGAACTGAACTGGCCCCTGCTTGGAACTATAGGGTAAGGGAGAGGATGGGAAGGACAGGAGTTCTTAGATAAATGTAATTCCTTTTTTCTCTCTCAGGCATCCAAAATCACCACTTACGGAAGTTGTTACCCTTTAAATCTACTCTGAAGCAACAGGGTTTCCTAGTAATCCATACTCCATTCGCCTTGCTCTTTTGCCAAGTTAGGCACCAGGAAAATCTCTTTGTTTTGTTATATACGACACATTCATAAAGGATAACTAGAGTGTCCCAGATCAAAGAGTTAGTCCTCAGGAATAGAGCAGTGTGAGAGACATGTTCTCTCTCTTGAATTGGTCTGGTACTAGGGGAAAGCCCTCAAACATGAGCCAGAATCAAGACTGTCCCTTACCAAAGCTCTTATTTATCATAGCTCTCTAGGGACTCATGTGCAAAACATTCCTGCCTCTCTCAGCTACAAGTGTGAAAATGGCAATTTTAGGGAAAATATTAGAAAATGCAGTGTTACTTTATGTAGAGGTTCCTACAGGTAACAACATAAATTACTGTGGTGCCCAGGGCAAATCTGACTTGGAGTCAGAGGATCTTGTTTCAGATCTCTGGCTCCACCACACCTACCACTTATGGGACCTTAGGTAAATGACAACCTTTCTTGAAAAAGCGTTCCCCAGCTATCTCAATATATGAGGAGAGAGAGAGAGAGAGAGAGAGAGAGAGAGAGAGAGAGAGAGAGAGAGAGAGAGAGAGAGAGAGAGATTAATATCCTAAAGTGAATCAAAAGATCCTATACAATAATCAAATTTTTCATTCCAAAGATCCAGGAAAGGGAGTATATTACGGTATTGGTCAATTTTCTGCATTCTTTGCTGGTGTTTATGTGAAATTCCTTCCCTCATCTCCCTAATTCTCTAAATTATCTATGGGTGAGAATTTATACAAGGAGGAACCCCACACTACTTGCCTTGACCTGTAGTAAATTTCAGGTGCTCCTAGCCCCTGGGGGCTAGTGGTCATCTACCACTTCTGTATCTCTCCTTATCTACACACTACTCACTTATAGAGCAACACAAATGTTTGCTGACTAAATGATCATGGAGTATTTTGTTGAAGAGCTCCAGTAACTTCTCTAAGGTAGAACAGATCATGAGGGAGGGAAAAAGTTGATCCACACAGTAAGAGAGGAAGATTACTAAAGACCAGGAGGTCCTAACTTCTCCACCAATTTGTGTATCTTCCTTTTGGACAGAGCATCTTTATAATTCCTTCCTTCTGGCTCCCAAGTCCCTGGGGCACTCCTGTAGTCTCTCAGTTCTTACCACTCAGGTCCCTAACAGTTGGTCAGATGTCCATCTCTTTCAAGGGGACAGGGACAGGACTGATGAGCACTGCCATTGGTATAGTAAAGCTCTGGGTCAGGAAGCTCTCTCTGCCAATTCAGGTTAGCACCTTCATCAAAAGAGTTGCCCAGAGCACTGAGAGGTGACTTGCCAAGGTTCATAGGGTCAGTGTGTCAGAGGTGAGACTGGAACCCGAGGCTCCATGGCTAACCAGGTAATGAATGCTGGGCAGTACTACCCCTTCCCACACTATTTTCTTCTCCTTATGTAGTGCCAGCTAGAGGCAGACTGAGCCTCATTCAGCTAAGCAGGCTTTCTTTTAAAGAGTGGTCACCTTACCCAACTTTACTGCTTTAGTGTTCTATGATTTTATTAGCATGCACATTGATATGGATGTCAGCCCCTTAATACGGATGTCCCTTCTACATCTCCATTGCCAAGTCCTTGATTTTCCTTGGTAATATCTCTTACATACTCCCCTCTTCTCTCCTCTGACAGTGCCACCACCCTGGTGCAGTCTATTATCATACCTCATGCCTGGAGTAGCTCTCAGAAAATGTGCGTAGACATTCTTAAGTTTAACCTGCATCATTAACATTTTCTTCATCACTTTCTTAAATCTAGACAATCGACAAAATGAGAAATCGAGCCCTTGGGTCACACAGAACCATGACAATCATCTTTCTAGCATTTTCAATTCAACCAATCCTCACATGATGGTTTCTGGTTCCCTTCCTATCTTGGTTATTCTCCTTTGGAATCACTCCAGTTTGTCAAAGATCTTTCCCAAAATGTGGTCCTCAAAAGCCTACACAGTACACCAGATGGGATCTGACCAGGTCAGAAAAGAGGACTATCTCCTAATGGCCTAGTGTGCCAGAAAAAGGGTTCGTACATTTCTCGTCATGTCACTGACTTTTGTTGACTCAGCAGGAACAAATTCAATTTATTTATACAAATAAGGAATCCTATTCACAAAATGGCACTGGGTATGTGTCTGCTGGTTTGTTTATACAAAGCATCCCAAAAGTCTTAGTACTGTTTAAGAATATTGAGGTTCAAACTTCACTAAGATGTTTGGGACATCTTATATATACTTCAATTGATTTGTGATTTGATTGACACAAATGGTCCCTCTAACGATACAGACCCCAATCTACCCAAACCTGTTCTGTCTGGGAGAGACACTTGTCTACATTTGATAGAGAGGATCTACCCAAAATACCGGGTGCCATTCTTGTTTTCTCTTGACATTGTAATTCTCCTGAGAGCTATGTAGTTAGTGAAGTATACAGGGGCCATATGGACTTTCTGGGGTCAAGCACTGTTGTCCCCTGATTTTGCCATGTGATTAACCTGCTTTTTTTTTTTTGATCATACATTTCTTTGGTGACATCCTTTACTATAATTCTTCATAATTCTTCTCTTTGTGCTACTGACTGATCACACCTACCACATGCCTTCACTCTTGCCCTAGCGAGCCCTCATTTTACATTCTTTGCAGCTGTAGTGTTATGCAAATAATAGCTATTACACTAAATTGGTAGATTATTGGTATTAAAAAGATGGGCTTTTTTTTTTTCTGGGAAAAATTTAAGGTCATTAAAGGGGTTTGGGATTTTCCTAAAGACAGTCTACATCAATTATGTCAAATTCAAATAGAAATTGATCCTTGTAGGCCACATATTGACTTAGAACACTACAAATTATCATTATTCATTATTATTAACATTAACATTATTCATGTTACATTGTATTTTTGTTTATTTTTTTACACATTTCCCAATCTAGTTGGCATTGACCTCTGATCTAGAACACTTCTCTTTCTCTTTAATTTTGGGCCCTTTCTCCCTTAGCATAAGTGTAAATGGTAGTGGTGGGATTAGTGGTTTCTTAACTCTCCACAGGCTTAGCAGTTCTTTTTCATGTAAGGAGGCCCCCACAAGTTAGTTACAAACATGGTACAAACCTCTTAAAGGCAATGGTCTACTGCAGAGGGTAATTTCTAGACTAGCAATTCATGAACTTATTTAAAAATATTTTGATAACTATATTTCAATAGAATTGATTTACTTTGTAATCCTATATATTTTATCATATGCATTTAAAAACATTATTCCAAGAATAACGGCAGAGAAAAAAAATTAAGAACCCTTGTCCTGGGACTCTCATGGACCTGGCTACATGTCCTTTCTGTGCCCTTTACTATGTAAATAAAAATGCATTTTGTTTTGAAGCCTTCTGAACTTTGGTGCTTGTAAAAGGTGCTTATGGCTATCTTAGGGAGAATGTCAAATTAGCTAGAGTTCCCAGGTTCATTCTGGGTGGAGGCAATAAGCCAGATTAGTAAGCTGATGGGCACTTTGTTTATGGATGCCAAATACAAAAATTCTGAGTTTCTGCCTGGGTGGGGAGCAATGAGCCAGATAGGTGTGAGGTTCTCCCAAAGTGTATCTAGGATCTTTATGTCCAAAGGGAAACTCTGACAATCACAATAGCTTCACAGAATTATAGAATTTCAAGGGTTAGAATGGACCTCAGCAACCATCTAGGCCACCCCATAAAAGGAATCCTCACTATACCCCACCCAACAAATGGCTGTCTAGCTTCTCTTTTGAAGACTTTCAGGAAAGGGAAACCGACTGCCTTTCCAGGCAGCCTATTCAACCTTTGGACAGCTCTAATTGTTGCCAGATTTCTATCTTAAGTTCTCTCCAGGGCTACTGGTTCTAGCCTTTCGGGCTAACAAAACAATGCTGATCACTCTTCCAAAAGACAATGTATTTGAAATACACTGAAGATGGCCATCATCTTCCCTGAGTTTCTCTTCCCTATGCTAAACATACTCAGTTCCTTCAATAAAATGTCACAAAATATGCTGCAATGTTTTGAAATTTCACAATAATAACAAAAAATAATGTTAATTGTGAACATTAAATCTATTCCCCTTTCAGGTGATTATCCATATACAAGGGATGTTATTAGTCCCTACTTCAAAATAACAATTGATATTACTGTGTAGTACTTGAAGGTTTCTAAAGCACTTTACACATATTATCTCATTTGATCCTCAGAACAGCCTGGGGAGTGGGGCTCCCCAACATGAAATTTCTGCTTCAGGAAGTTTGACTTCCTTAATGTCCCCTACAAGCAGGGGTTGTTGGTAGGTAGTATAGGCATGATCATTACCATTTTATGGAAGAAGAAACTGAGCTCAGAGGTTGATGACTTAATCATGGTCATACTGATCTCATGTGTTAGAGGAAGGAGTTAAACCTAAATTTCCTGAATATGAGTCCAACACTCTATCTACTCATTAAACCACACTGTCTTTCCTTGAGTTTTGGACGTGAAACAACTATTAAAGTCCACAGGGCTTATGCCCCCCAAAACTATTAAACTGTGTATAGCCTTTAACTCAGCAATACTGCTACTGGGTCAGTGAAAGAGATCAATGAAAGATGAAAAGGATTCATATGTACAAAAATATTTATGGTAGTTCTTAATGTGGTATCAAAGAATTGGAAATTTAGGGAGTGCTGAATTGAGGAATGGCTGAAGAAGTTACTGTATATGATTGTGATGGAATACTATTGTGTAAGAAATGATGGAGATAGTTTCAGAAAACCTTGACTTGTATGAACTGATGTAAAGTAAAGTGAACGGAAGCAGGAGAACAATTTATACAGTAACAGCAATATTTTAAAGATAATCAACTTTAAAAGACTTAGCAACTCTGATCAGCACGATGACTCACCAGAAATCATCATGAAACATACTATCCACCTTCAAAATCTATCTTCTTTCCTTTTCTTCTTTTCCTTCCTTCCTTTTCTTTTCCCCCTTCCTTCCTTCTTTCTTCCCTTCCTTACTTGTCTCTCTCCCTTTCTTTTTTTAGATATGGCTAATTAGGTAATTTGTCTTGCATCACTATATATTTGTAATGTTTTTTTTTTCTTTCTTGCCTTGGCAATGGGTAGGGAAGGGGAAGGGGAACAATTCGGATTTGTAAATAAAATAAACTTGAATAAAAAAAAATAAAGAAATCCACTGTGACTTCAGATTTCTAAAGGGTCAAAGGTGGCCACAGCTGCTGTTGTTTCTGGCTAAAGGAATTACCAAGGGCCCACGCCTTGATCAGAAACTTCGTACATCATGGCGGTGGTTCCATCTTATTTCCCACAGCTCCCCAACACGAAGTTTCTGCTTCAAGAAGTTTGGCTTCCTTAATGTCCCCCACAAGCACAGATATTCCAGAGCTAGCTCATACTGGCTCGCAAGTGCTAATAGTTAAATTTTCAGTGTGTGCTTTTATACCTCAGAAATGGGCAAATTCTATAAATAAAAACTTGATTTGTTTTGTTGATTATCCAGACTCAAGAAAGTAATGGAGGAAAGGTTAATAATGCAGATTAAACTTAAAAGTGTGTCATGCATTTTTGCTTTTTCAGTGAGGCAATTGGGGTTAAGTGACCTGCCCAAGGTCACACAGCTAGTGAGTGTTATATGTCTGAGACCAGATTTGAACTCAGGTCCTCCTGACTCTAGGGCCAGTACTCTATCCACTGCACCACCCAGCTGCCTCCCATTTTTTTTTAGAAAGCTGGTTGTTAAACATTTACCAGCACACCCTTGCTTATGAGCATGAGTCTCTTTTCACCTTCTTACTTACCTTTCAAGCCCTAGCTCAAGTCCTATCTTTTTCCAACCCACTCTAGCCCATACTGACCTTTCCCTTCTGTAAATTAACTGTGAAATTTACCATTTATCCTATGGAATCTCGCATCATGTTGTCCTTTGTGGTTGTATGTCTCGTGTGTGTACATCTTTCCTCCCTAACTAGACTGTAAGCACTTTTTTTTTTGTGGAGGCAATCAGGGTTAAGTGACTTGCCCAGGGTCACACAGTTAGTAAGTGCCTAAGGTGACATTTGAACTCAGGTCCTCCTGACGGCAGGGCCAGTGATCTGTCTACTGTGCCACCTAGCTTCCACCCAGACTGTAAGCTCTTCTACTTCACTAGTATCTGCACAGTTCCTAGCACATGACAGATGCTTTGCTGGTATTTGTTGTGCTGATATAATAATGCATTGCATGGCTCTTGCTCCTGCTCCATGGACAAGACCACAACCTGGGGTCACCATGCTGCTCAGGCTGCAGCCACACATGTTTCTACTGAGATAGCACTTTCAGGAGGTACATGTGGTCTCCTTACCAGGTTTTCATTGGTCAGCCGTGATATTTCTTGTTGGACTCCAAACTCCACCTGGGCCTCGGGAGACAGCAGGAGCGTCTGGCAGAAGGTCTGCTGCTGCTTGTCCATCTCTTCCTTCAAGGTTTCAATCTGGCTCCTCAGAGACTCCATCTCTTCCTCATGCTCTCGGCTCTGGGCCTGGAGCTGGGCTTCCAGCAACCTACGAGAGGAAGGAGGGCACTTGATTTTTTTGTCCCCGGCCGAGAAGGGGCAAACACAGAATGTTAGGCTGGCTTCTCAGAAGAGCAGCACAAGCTGACCTCCAGCAGAGGACAGGATGCAAGCTGCGACACCGACCGGACAGAGAAAACGAGAATTTCGGGACAAGCAAGCAAGACCATCCCCAAGAAGCTCGTGGCTAGACAGGGCCAAGCACAGGATCTGATAAGCAGGCTGCTTCAACCTGTCTCACTTTCAGACGCTTCATTATAAATAGAATTTTGGCAGTAAAGGCTATCTCTATGTCAAGACATGAGAGCAAAGATTAGCTTCTCCTCATATTTTACTATGGTGCTCCAGCTACTGGAAACATACTGACACTCGTCACAAAGCCCAAACGGGAACCCTCCTGTTGGGAGAAAGCATTCGCACAGTGGAGGGATTAACAAATGCTTATGACTGATGAGCTGATCTGATTAGTTATTTCCCCTTTCATAAAAATAACCGTTCACAATTCATAGTGCTTGAAGGTCAGCAGAACACCCTCCTCACAACTACCCTGTAAGGTAAGAAGTATAAGCATCATCACCCCCATTTCACAGATGAGGAAAGGGTAAAGTGACTTGTTCAGGGTCACAAAGCTAGGCAGGGTCAGAGCCAGGATTTAAATCTAGGACTACTGACTCCCAGACTGCTTATTTTTTCCACTGTATCATCATAAAATTTTGAAAGGGAAAATATTTGTTCCCCTGCCCCTAGCATCCATCCTCTACTTAGCTGCCTGCACAGATACACATTTTTTATGCTTTGAAAAAAATAGTTGGTAATAGCAAGTTCGAGGTGACTTTAAGAACATCGGTCGGTTTGCTAGCTGGAGGCAGAGGGATCTACATTAGAGTAATGGACTGGGAGAAAAGAAAGGACAATATTAGGGGTTCTAGATTCGAGTGTGACTTTGGGTGAGTCACTGCTCTTTGAGAAGTAACATTGTATAATGAATGAGCTTTGACCTGAGAGTCAGAATTAGAGTCCCAGGTCTGTCACTTAATAGTGTGACTTTGGGTAAGTCACTTAACTTCTATGAGCCTCAGTTTCCTTATCTGTAAAATGGGAATAATTTACATATTCTTTTCACAAAATTGTTGTAAGGTTCAAATGAGAAGGCACATGCAATCATAAAGCTTTTTAAGCTTCATTCACAGCAACATAAATATGATCTTTTATTGCTTAGTAAATGTTTAGTAAATGAGGATAAAGGTTATATTTGATTACTGTCTCTTTAGGTCCACGCCTTAGAGTGAAAAAAAAAACCATGAGGGGAAAACAAGAAAATTACCAGTAAATATTGACTAGGGAGTCCTAATTTCATTCTAAAATATCCAATATTTATTATTCATACAAAATGTCAATATTCTAGATAGGCTGGGGATTTGTGTTCTAGATATATCCTAGAGCTTACTAGATACAAATTCATCCCCTAGTTTTTTTTTAGGATGCAAGGAGAAAAGGTGACTAGTCTCTAGAGCAGTATTGTGTGTAGAGCAGACAGGTCATCAATATTTGAGATGAATATGATAAAGACCAGCCCATATGTTATGACATATGTAAATATCAGATCATAGGATAGCAGATTAAGAGTTGGAAGGAATCTTAGAGGCCAGCCATTAGTTCTAATACCCCCCATTTTACAGATGAGGAAACTGCAATACAATGAGGGAAAATGCCTTGTTAAGGGTTGTGAAGTTAGTAAATACCCGAAGTAGTACTAGAACCCAGGTCTTCTTGACTCCAACTCCAAAGCCCTATCCACCATACCACACTTCAGGGGTGTAGATGCAATGGCAGTCATGTAAGACAAACCATTCAGTGTTTGAGGTAGGAGATGGACCCAGAGGCTCTTGGAGGCATAAGAGTCTGGAAAATGAGCACACAGACTTCATGCTGGACAAAGTTTGTCACTTCTGGACAATCCTTCTGGAAATCAGTGAGGGGGGTCATTACCAGCCACTTAACTCCCGTGAAGTGGAGTGGGGTGGGGAATTACAGGTTGAATTATGCCACTGTTCCAGGATAGCGTCCTGCTTGAAAGTGTCAGCCCCTAAGGTCAGGGCACCTCTGATGTTCAAAAAGAGAGGTAGAAAGGCTGAATGCAATTCAGACAGCGAGGACCCGAAGCGCTGGCATGGGCCCCTCACATAACAAGTAGGGTGGGGGATGTGGAGGGAACTGACCCAATGGGTGCCTCGGGCTTCTTGTCCACAGAGCATTGTTTACCCAAGATTAAATGATAAATGCTCATGTGTTCTGACGTGTCCTGCCTTACAGTCCTTCCATGAAGCCTCCAGCATGGGCTGCCCCTGTGAAGGTGAGCTGTGTGTGTGTGTGTGTGTGTGTGTGTGTGTGTGTGTGTGTGTGTGTGTGTGTGTGTGTGTGTGTACAGCAGCCAGATCCAACATCTTGGGCATAAACACAATCCCCTGAGTTATCCCCACCCACCCACCCAAATATCCTCCCTACTCCTGTCACCAACTGACCAGGTACCTGAAAAAGTGCAGAAGACACTGAAATAGGAATGCCATCCCTTTCATCACCTTGGCTCTAGGTGACCAGACAAAAGAAAGGGAGTATCCCCATTTTATAGATAAGGAAACTGAGGCTTAGCCAGGTTAAGTGATTTGTCCAAGGTCATATGGCTAGGACCTGTCAGTGGGAGAAAACGAACCCAGGTCTTCCTGGCTCCAGGTCTATCTAGCACTCTATCCATTGGGCCATGCCTTGCTGCCTCTCTCATACACTAATGACTGCGATTTGAGAGCAATAAAATTTAGTACAGATGAAAAAATGAACAGAAGGACACATAGCAAATAAGTTATTTCTGTCACTGGTTTGCTAAAATGAACATTACCTTTGTAGCAGACTATAAATAATTTATGCATGATTTTATTCCTTGCTTTGTTAGTAACAATAATTGATATTATTTGCTATTGATAAAATAATTGCTTTACATTTTGCAGGTGCATTATGTTCACTTTCCCATTTGACCCTCACAACTGTCCAATGAGGTAGGCACCACAGGGGTTATTATACCCACTTTATAAAAGAGACTGAGGATAAGAGATGTTTGGTGACTTGCCCATAGTCACACAGCTATCATGAACTGGAGAAATTCAAACCCAGGTTTCTCTTGATTCCAAGTCCAATTCTCCTTCTTGTTTCTTGTTTATTTGATGACTGTTGGGGAGACTGTTTAAGTTTATAATGAAAATTATGTCTTAAAAATTGAAAACCCGAGTTTCTTTTTTTGCTTTTCCCCAAGGCAATCGAGGTTAAGTGACTTGTCCAGGGTCACACAGCTAGTGAGTATCATGTGTCTGAGGTCAGAGTTGAACTCAGGTTCTCCTGCCTCCAAGGCTGGAGTTCTATCCACTGCACCACCTAGCTGCCCCCAAAACCTGAGTTTCTTAATCTTGGCTCAAACACTGGCTGTATGACACTGGGCAAAGTCATTTATCCTTTCTGGTCCTCAGTTTCTTCGTCTGCAAAATGAGGGTGAAAATATCTGTCCTATCTGCATCAAGTGTTTATAAGAATCAAAGGAGAAAGCATACATGGGATTTCTTAGAAAACACTCCAGTTCTGGACAAATGTAAGGTACTGTGACCACCATGATTTCCCTGTTCACACAGAAGTTCTAGCCCTGCTACAAACAGAACAGTGAGAACAGGACTGAGAAATCAGGCACCGAGCACATAAAAACAGGCTAGGGGGTAACCCATGACCCTACTTCTACTCTTGTTAATATAAAACCAGAGCAAATAGCTGAACAGGCATAACAGGCAGAGCAGAAACAGGAAGGAAAGAATATTGTTTGACCTGGCAACTTGCTTTAGGCCTTGGTAGGCCAAGCCGAGTTCTCCATCTTCATTCAAATATCCCCAATCCTCAGTCTTGCTAGAAATAAAGGACAGGAGAAAAAGAGAGAAAGGAAACCAGTAGAAAGAAAAGATAGATAATCAGACAGATATATCAGAAGGGAAAGTGAAGAAAGCCCAGTGAGCCCAGCTGTGATTAAAAAAAAAAAAGCCCACCAAAAAACAAAGGAATGCTATAGCTCAAAGGACAGCTAGCATTCATGTAGGGTACATTTGGGGAATCTATATCCTATCTCATTCCTCTCAAATGTATAGCAAAACCTTGGGGGAATTATCAGGCCTTTGTTTTCATACCTAGTTAACCATCATGGGAATAGATATTTTGTGCCTTGTGCTTCATGCCATCATCACCTATGAATACAGCAAATAAGCCAAGCAGGGCAAATATATCACCAAAGACAAAGAAAAGGGTAACTTACTTGTGGTGCCTCTGGGAATGAGCCCTCATGAGGAGGAGGAAGAGGACGGATGAAAGTCCCAAGGCACAATGAAAGCCTTTACACACACACACACATACATATAGCAGAGTTGCATTTACCTGAATGATCAAGGCCCAGGGACAGAGAGAAAGCAAGGAAAGCTTGCAAAACCAGGGCAGAGAGGAAAGGGTCTGCTTCATCGGTGGGTAGAGGGGATGGGAGTACTCGAGATGGAACAGCAAATGCTTTAGAATGCCAAGCAGGAAGATGGAATGATTCACCACTACCTCACCACCTACAGATTCATGACGTTAATGATTTTGAGACAATCTGGCACTGCTTAAACAAAAAATAGTGGAATGCATGCAGAAATCTGGTGTCTTTTGTTGAGAGAGTGGCTATCTTATATTCTGTTTTTCCTCTCTCGGATTGTAAGATTGTTTTGAGGATAAGTGAATGTTAGCCAACCCAATGTCAAACATTGCTTCAGAGTCCTGTGCAAAGAAGCAACTTAATTAAAGCCTCATATTGATAATTGAGCTGCTCCACCCATCTGTCCATCTCTGGAGAGTGCCCAGAATATCAGACCTTTTTCATTCCCATCCCACTTCCCTCTCCTCCTTACTCATAAACTCTTACTCTACTCTCTCAGGGCTTACTATATCTGTGCTAATGAATTCACAGAACTCTTTTGCTCTGTTATCAATTCATTACAAAAATACTTACTGTCAGTTGGTCCTAGGTAATAAATACTAATAAAAAGCATTAGATAGTACACTATTTCTGCTGTCATGGTGCTTCTTTTCTTTTTTTGGGGGGGGCAATTGGGGTTAAGTGACTTGCCCAGGGTCACACAGCTAGTGAATGTCAAGTGTTTGGTCTGAGGCTGCATTTGAACTCAAGTCCTCCTGACTTCAGGGTCAGTGCTCTATCCACTGCGCCACCTAGCTGCCCCCATGAAGCTTATTTTTCTAATGGGAATATGACATATACAGAACCCTAACATAGAAAGTATGACATCATCATTACATTAGAGGTTTATAGAACAAAGGGGGAAAATCTATTACCAAGGACAAGATGGAGGGTGAGAGAAAAATGAACAGAAGAGGTAGCTTTTGAGTTAGAAGAGGGTAGGTGTAAGTAGGGAGAGCAAGAGTGGTCTTTTCTAAAAGAGAAGGAAGGAGAAGGGAGATGGCAGGAATGAGGAAAGCCTTGCAGACAGCTGAGATGGGGATCAAAGGACTTGGGTTTAAATTGTGCCTCTGACCTTACTGCCTTCTTGACCTAGGACAAGTCACAAGCTCCTAGGGCCTCAGTCTCTATACTTATACAATGGGGATAAGTAGGGTTGACTTGATGGTCTCTGTGGTCCCTTCTAATTGTATCATAGGTTTCCAAAGTGAGCGATACAGCCCCCTGGGGGGCGCTGGAACGATCCAGGGAGGCAGCAGTAATCTCAGGTGCAATTGCGAGGCGTCGAATAAAAATAAGGGTATAATGGAAGCATAAGGAAAGAAGAGAAGAGAAGAATTTTTTTTTTTTTGGCTAAGCAATGGGGTTAAGTGACTTGTGCAGGGTCACACAGCTAGTAAGTATTATGTGTCTGAGGCTGGATTTGAACTCAGGTCCTCCTGAATCCAGGGCTGGTGCTCTATCCACTGTACCACCTAGCTTCCCTGAAGATAAGAAAATTTTGCAAAACCATTCATACATGTGTCATCTGTTGTGTAACAGAGTTAAAGTTGTAGTGATTACATTATTTTCCAAATAAGTACACAAAATGCAAGTTATAACCAATCAGTGGTCAAGTCCACTTATTGGTGGTCTTAACAAGCAAGTACTGGCAGGTAAGTGTGTTGAGCATTGCCAGGAAGTGCAGCATGCATCGGCAGGAATATGTGTGTGTAATGACTTGTTTATGATATGACACTATACAGTTACATGACCCAATATTGTGTCATCAAAATTTCAATGCAAGAAAAAATCCATAAATTTATAGTAAATTATAAAATTTAAGATGCATCATTGAAAAATATTTTACATTTTTTTGAAATGATGCAAATTAAAAAAAAACCTTAAAGGGTTAAAGAAAGTAGATTTACAGAGGGGTGTTGAGTAATTTTTTTTTTAAAGGTACCAGTAGGCTAAATAAGTTTGGGAACCTCTACTCTAGATATATATCCCTAAGACTTTTTTTTTATTAGGACAGTAATTTTTATTTTACGTATACATGATTCTGGTGTCTTGCAGCTTTCTGGACAGATTTATACAATCTCAAAAGTTTTCAGTAGTGCAACCTGTTTCTCAGTGTACCTGACCCAGAAATGATTCATGACACCTTGAACATCAGAGATTTACAAAGGAAGGGATGATCAGCAGAAAGGTACGTGGGAAAGAAGGGATAGAGTAGATGGTAAGAAAGCGAAGGGAACAGAAGGAAGGAAGGGAGCTTTTTGGATCTTTTTTTCAGCCAAAAACTGAGAAAGATTTTCTGTGATTTCCCTATTTAAGCTATAGTTGGCTTTAAAATGCCACCTAGTGGTCATAATAGAAAATACAGTTTTATGAAATCAAGTATAAAAAATGTAAATCTGTGAATTAAATCAATCAACTAATATTTTGCTGATGTACTACTGCATGTATAACAGTATTTCAGACATCAACTGAACACAAATTAATTTATTTTGGTGAATTTCGATTGTAGTAAAGTTTGACTGTTCTAGCAGCCAGGAAACTGGACTTCTGTCCCCTTCCTTATGTGTGACATCAAAGGATTTTATAGGCTAGAGTTAGCCTGTACATTAGAGGTAATTTGGTCTCATCCTCTACCTTTATATGTAAGAAAAATAAGGCCCTGAGAGAGGAAGTGATTTGCCCAAGATCATATAATGAAATGAAGGGGGCTTGATTTAAATGATCTCAGGGATTCCTTTCCAGCTCTTTGATCCTATTTTTGTTAATTTGATTATTCATAATAATCAAAATGACTTACTCGCCCAAAGTTGTTCTTAATATTGCTGTTACTGTATACAATGTTTGTCTGGTTCTGCCCACTTCACTCTTCGTTATTTTGTACAAGTCTATCCATGTTTTTCTAAGATTATTGAACTCATCATTTCTTATAGCAGAGTACAGTTATTCATGATAAATAGATGTATAGAATGACTTTACATACACACATATTTGTGTCTAATGATTCTACTTTTTGTTGTTGCTCAGTCGTTTCACTCATGTCCGACTCTTTATGACCCCTTTTGGGGTTTTCTTGGCAAAGATACTGAAGTAGTTTGCCATTTCCTTCTCCAGATCATTTTACACATGAGAAAACTAAGGCAAATAGGGTTAAGTGACTTGCCCAGGGTCACACAGCTAGTAAATGTCTAAGGCTGGATTTGAACTCAGCTATTTCTGACTCCAGGGCCAGTACTCTATGCAGTGCACCTCGTAGTTGCCCTTTTGATTTTATAGTCTATGTTATAATTTTTTTTATATAAATGTGATAACACACTAGAACAGGCTTGCAAAAAAATGAGATATAACCTCTATCCCAGGAGCTCTGCAGAAACAGAAATTGGCAATCACTTCTCCTGCACTGTTGAAACGTTATCTGCCCTACTGATGGGGTTACAGCATTCGACCTCTCAAGGTCCTCTCTAGGACTGGGATTATAACATTCTTATCTCTAAAAAAAGAAACCTTCTGGGACTGCCTATGTCTTTACTTCACAATTTTTTTTTCTATACTATCTCCTGTTCTGGTTTATAAAGACATTGGGGGTACAAGAGGTCTTCATTCTGTGAAATGAGGGACCCAAGACATTTGAAGTTTCAAACTTGGTCACAAAACATACATATTATTTGTGGTACTTGACAAGCTGCTTTTTGGCAGAAGCAAATGTTGTTGCTGACAGCTGCAGTATTTTCAGAAACATTAGTTCATTTTAAATTCCAGAAGAAAATCACAGGTGTCTAACCAGGGGTAGGGAAAGGAATTATTTCCAAACCCAGACCTGGGAATTCAAAGGCTCCACACTCAGCCATATTTTATCCAGATGGCATGAACCTGAAGAGGGGTTGGTAGCCTGGTGTCTAAACCTAATCACACATGTATCACAAGAATCCAGGCAAATCTCAGTGAGGTTCCCTTTACATTCCAAACATTCCCTCCTTAATAAACAAGGTTAATTGTTTAACTAAGGTCCACTTAGCAGTGGACTAAGAAAAGGTCCACTTAGCAGTGGACTAAGAAAAGGTCCACTCAGCAGATGAGCCATGTGTAAAATGTCATGCATATGTGCATCACATGCATACACACCATGGCATTATCTGTATACACATCATGCATACACATGCCATGCATATATGTGCCCAAGAACAAAGAGTCAGTAGCTGCTTTTTACATAGAATATTCAGTGGTTTGAAAACTTTCTTGGGCCTCTGATGGGCAGGTGCCCTGGTATCACACTGGCCCAAACAATCACTGTGCTAAAGGTTTGGCTCTGTGGGATTTCTCCATGCCTACAAAGCTGAGTTGGAAGGGCGACCCAGTAGAATGAACAGTCTGTTCCTAAGTCTGTGTGATCTTGAAAAAGTCAGATTAATTTTTAATTTAAAAAATTCTTGGGGCAGCTAGGTGGTGCAGTGGATAGAGCAACTGACCTTGAAGCCAGGAGGACCTGAGTTCAAATCCAGCTTCAGACACTTACTAGCTGTGTGACCTTGGCCATGTCATTTAACCCCAAATGCCCCCCCCGAATTCTTAAGTGAAAAAAATCATTAAAAAAAGAACAAATCATTTCTCCCTCTCTATGCCTTAATTTCCAACGTAATGTAAAATGACCCAGACCACAAGATCATAGATTTTGGAGCTAAAAGGGATTAACTAACCTGTTCCTCTTATTTTACAGATGAATCTTAATTTTGGCTTTTTTCTTTTCTAACTCTATAAATGATGTTGCCATGGGGGGGGGGGGAAGACAGAGATGAGAAGATCAACAAAAATCTTGTTTTCAAGATCTTATTTGAAGGTCTCATTTCAAAAATGAGGCCCAGAGAAGTCCAGTTTCTTGCCCAGGGTCACAGAGATGGTATTTGGTGGAAGCATGACTTCAACCCAGATCTTCCTGACCTCAAAGCCAACCCACTTCCCATTATACCATGCTTGTACTTATCATTGCTCCTAAATGAAACCTTTTTTCCTCATTTCTAAAAAGTATAATTTTATTTTCAGTTCCAAATTCTCTACTTCTCCACCCATCCCCCACCCACTGAGAAGGCAAGAAATATGATACTCATTATACATATACTCAAGTTTCCCCATTAGCCATGTTCCAAAGGAAAACAAAAGCAAGAAAATAAAGGAAAAAATATGTTTGAATTCGTACTCATTAGTCTATTAGTCCTCTATTTGGAGGTGGGTAACTAACACTTTTTGTCATGAGTCCTTTGGAGTTGTGGTGGACCATTGAATTGATCTGAGTTACTAAATCTTTCACAGTTGGTGATCTTTATAATATTGCTATTAATGTGTACATTGTTCTCTTTGTCCTGCCCACCTTATTCCATATCAATTCATACAGGTCTTACCATGTTTTTCTCAAACCATCCCTTTCTCATCATTTCTTACAGCTCAATGGTTTTCCGTCACCTTCATATACTATAACTTGTTAGGCCTTTCCCCAGCTGGTCCTAAATGAAGTTGTAAATCCTTGCTTTCTCTTTCCCAGATCTATAAATTGGGGGAAAAGATAGAGATGCAAGGATCAACAGGGAATCTCTATGGGAGCATAAACATCAATGGTAGAGGAAAAAAAGTCCTTCATACACTCACACAGCACACAATTTATGTTTAAAATATAAAATTCTATAATGGGCATGGCGGCTGCATTGAGGAGAAAATAAACTCCTCTTCTTTTTAAAGAATCCTGGATTTGCTGAGGGCAACCTCTAGCGTAGTGAACTGCTATCCTGGGCCGGGATCCAAGAAACCGTTAGTCAATGTTATCAGGCCTCTGCCATCTTGTGCATCTGCCTGTTTTCCCTCTCTGAGCACCAAGGCAGTCACAAAGTTCCTTCTACTCTAAGGCAGATGGGCCAGGATGGCCTGGAGACAAAATGCTCTGTGGCTACTTGGAAGGCACTCCACCACTGGGGGAACCTGTTCTTCAGGATCTTTTTGGGGATAATGTAAATAGTTCTTACCCTGTGTTTAACTCCACCTCACAGGCTATTCATTTCTTATTTTGGACTGGGCTTTCTGGGAACTGAGTTATTTTAGCTATAACAGAAGCTATTTTAAATTTTATCATCGTTACCATTATCACGACTGTAAGGGAAGATACAAATTCAGGATATTAAACCACCCCTGAGAAAACCAGTGCTCAAGCTTGGCTTCCTGCCAGGTGTTTGCAGGTAATAAAAAGGAAGCTGATAATAGCAATCCTCTGAAGATCAGGGGGATGTCATTGCTTTTGTGTCAGGACCAAGCACATAAGACGCTTTTATTATCTGAGTATTTTATCTTGGCCCACGATAATTTAAAATGACTAAATCTGGATCCCAATTTTAAACCTGAGAGATTCACCTTCAGATTTTTCTGTGTTCTTCTTTTCTTCCTCTGTCCCCTTTTCTCTCCCTCCTCCCACCTTTGAGAATAATTTTATTTAAGAATAAATTCATCATTGCCACTTTTTGGGAAACTAGTGAATAGGGATCATGGTTGGGAAGACTACTGGATTGACTAGCTCTCTGTGTGTCCTGGCTCAAGCCTCTTTCCTCTCTGTGGTTGGGTTTTTCTCCAAGGTCCTTCCAGCTCTAAAGCCATATGATTCCACGAAGTACGTACAAGTGAACTGCTAAAGCAAGAGTCCTTCATTTACAGCAAGGGTCCAATTGGTGCAAATAACAGTCTCTAGAAGTAGTTACATTATTTGAATTTGTACTACATATTTCCATTGGGCTAGAATAAGTTGCTATATTTTATGTAATTACAACTTTGAACTGTACAAATTTAAATACATGGGACCATCAAGAGATTCTCTAAATCACTATTGATTAGAGAAATACAAAGTAGAGAAATACAAACAACTCTGAGGGACCACCTCACATCTATTGGAAATGACAAGTGCTGGCAGAGAAGAGGAAAAATAGGTACACTAATAAACTGTTTGTGGAGTTCTCCAGACATTCTGGAGAACAATTTGGAACTATGTCCAATCAAAATATGCATACCCTGTGATTCAGATTGTGATGGAATACTACTGTGCTGTAAGAATTGAAAAAGTGAAGTGAGAAGAACCAGGAGATCATTGTGCACAGTAATAAAACAATATTGTAATGATAATCACCTTGCTTTTTGTGTGTGATATGGCTAAGACGGAAATGTTTTTCATGATTTCACATGTATAATTGACATCATTTACTTGCCTTCTGGGTAGGGGAGGAATAGGAGGGAGAGAGAATTTGGAACTCAAAATTTAAAAAGAGAAGAATGTTAAAAATAAATAAATAATAGATTTATTAAAAAAAAAATGCCAGCCTAACTGGAATCTCTGGGTGTTCCCTGAGCTCAGCATTCCACCTCCATCTTTGTGGCTCCACAGCAGCTAAATGTATTTCCTCCTTATTTCTGCCTTGCAGAATCTTTATCTTCTTTCAAGGCTTAGTCCAGATTTATATACCCTGTGAAGACTTCTGTGACTTGCCCCCGCTGAACCCTCCCCCTTTCAACTGTGACTACTCTTTTCCCTTATGACAATCAGTGTTTACTTATCTGCATGCACACTGTATACCAAGTCCCTTTATGAGGCCAGAGACCATTTGACTTTTGCTTTGTACTCCAGGACCTATCAGAGGTGCCTTGTTGGCCCTGAAAAAGAGGATTTTGCTGAACAAGATTGAATTGTTATAACAGAGGGCCATCTGGAGTTAGGATAGAAAGAACAGAACATAGGAACTAGGAGGAACCTCAGAACCTTAGAAATCATCTTGGCAACTAGGTGTTGCCTTCTCTGTCCCTCCCCCCCAACCCTGTAGGAAGCTCTTTCATATGTATTATGTTGCTTCATATGTATTAGTCTTTCCCCAGCTAGACTGAAAGCTCCCTGAAGGCAAGAATATTTTTCCTCCTCTCATATCTATCATAACACTTGGCATAATGCTGTAGCCAATACTTGGTGGAAGTGAATTGTCTGCCTGAGCTAAAGTATCTCCCTTCCTTCTTCTGGGAGGTAGGACTTACCTATTTGTCTGGCAGACCCCATGATAGGCTTCAATGGCATCTTCCTGGTCCACATGCTTTTCACTGTTGGGCCAACTGGTCCGGGCATTAATGTTTGGCTCCTAGAGAGAAATGTGACAGATCAAGGCAAATGAAGACAACCCTGCTTATACAAACATCTGTCAATGGAGCATAATCACTACATATAAATGTATGGTTAAGTGCACACATCAGGAAAGTATGAGAGCTTGTGTTTTAAATAAGAAAATGCCCTCTAGAAACAGAGCTGAGTGCACTTCATTGGGGGAGGGGGGTCAAGTACAGAAAGACTTTCCTGGCATGCTGCTTTAAAAGGTCACATTCATCCTATGGAATAAAATAAATAAAACCTCTTCCCCCCACTCAGAGGAGATGAGAGGGTTGGGCACGGCTGTACTAATTCCCTGGCTCCATTAGAGAGATTCCCTTCCCTGCCTCTCCCCAAGTCCTCTTTGATGTGAAGTATCCTAAGGAAATATTTAGGGTCTCCCTGCAAAGAAGAACTTGAACTCAGGTGCTTAAGATACAGGGGAAAACTGGGGCTATGACTGCTCCTGCCTTCATACCCATCTCCTCCCTTCTCCTAGTTACCTTTTGCTTAACAGATGCCAAGGCACAGAGCTCATTGTACAATGCCTCCCTCCCCTCACCTCCTCCCATTAGTTCTTGCTCAGCTCCATTCCCTCCCCTGACTGTTGAGTCTCAGAAGCTGGATTGGATCCCCTATGCCAAGGAAGGACAACCTCTCACTGTGCCAGGATACAGGTCAGGCAGCAGGTATCCAGAGTTTTTAAATAAAGTTAAAGTTTTTTAATTTAAATTTTTGAAAGAGAAAATTAGAATCCAAGCAAGAAAAGAAAGTGATGATTAGTTGGGTTTCTTGGACATATAACCATTTCTCTTTGGGCTTAGTTGGAGCTAAACTGGGTCCATATATCATGTATGATCCCAGCTGCCCCAGTTCAATAGTGAGTTACTTGAAATCATCCTTCTGGAACCTTAGGGTAGAACAACCTTGAAAGGTCACCAGATCTTTCAGGCAGGATCCCAAAGCTAGAGACGGCTCAATCTCTGGAATCAGGGCTCCCTTCCTTCAGTCTCAGGTATTGCTGGACATAGCGTGGCTCAGTGGGAAGGGAAAGTCTGTGGCGAGGAAGCCCAAGCCTATCCATCATGCAATCCTTTGGCTGCCCCCCCAGGCTGTATGCCTCACCGTGCTCCTGCCAGCACGCTTCCGCTGGTCAGCGCTCACAATCTGGGCCCTGAGTATGAGCACCTCCTCCTTGCGGACCTCCAGCTCCTCATTGGCTGACTTGAGCTGGTTCAGCAGGAGGGCATAGCTGTCCTGCACCTCGTGGGTCGAGTTGTTCTGGGTGGCCTGGTCGGCCACTGCCTTTCTCAGCTCGTTCAGCTCATTTTTCAGCTTTTTGTTCTCTGACTCCAGCTCTTGTCTCTGGAAAACACCAAGGTCCCCCGTTATTTCTTACATGAGGGTCACCCTAGAAGAGCGCTTCCCACTCATGAGCATCCTATTACACTTCCTCATGAAGCCAATCTCACTACTAGGCCTGCTCCACTTGGGGCCCAGCCTGTGCACAGAAACACTTGTGAGACTGTATGCAAGGATGCTCTAATATGAATAGCGCTTTAAAGCTTGCAAAACACTTCTCATATTTTATCTTGTTTGATCCTCACAGCAACCCTGAGAGGAAGGTGCCATTATTCTTATCCCCATTTTACAGGTGAAGAAAGTGAGGCCGAGAGGTGAAGTGACTTGTCCAGAATCACACAAGTGATCACGTAAGTGCCTGAGGACGGTTTGAACTCAAATCTTCCTGATTCCAAGCCTGGCATTCCAGGCCCTGAACCACCTAACTGCCTTAATAATTACCGATGATTCCAGGAAGTCCACGAGGAGTCTTCTTACTGGGCACAGCAATGCTGGATTTACATTCACACACTGACTCTATGTGTTTCTCCCACTTAGTGTAGTAAAGTAGATAGAATGCTGGACTATGGGAGAATATGAGCTCCTAGAAAATAGGGGTTTTTCTTTTCCTTTTTGTCTTTTCATCCTCAGTACCTAGAACTTGGGAGTCACTTAATAAACGTGTGCTGAATAGCTGAGTCAGGAGCCCAAGCTTCTTGTCTCAGCTAGGCATCACAGCTATGAAGGAGCTGAGTGACTTGGGCAAGTCTCTGCCTCAGTCTGGGTTTCTGTTGTCTCATCTTTATAGATGAGGGTGATCTCTAACGTCTCTTCTGTTTTTAACACTGCTACAGTGGGTGGAGAGGAGCTAGAAGACTGGAAGACCTGGGTTCAAGTCTAGCCTTAGACACATGCTGGCTATGTGACCCTGGGCAAATCCAGTACTCTTGCCCAAAGGTGTCAAACACATGAGGCCCCATATATTGCTGCTAGCATGCTGCAGAGCCAGATTAAAGTGTAACTGGGAAATATTTAACAAAATAAATACAAATACAATAGAACATGGATAATGTTAATACAGGCACTAGGTGGTACCATGGTGCACAGAGTGGTGGGCCTGGAGTCAGGTAGGCTCATCCTCCTGGCCTCAGACACTTATTAGCTGTGTGACCGTGGGCAAGTCCCTTAACCTCAGTTTCCTCATCTGTAAAATAAACTGGAGAAGGAAATGGCAAACCACTCCAGTATCTTTGCCAAGAAAACCCCAAATAGTGTCACAAAGAGTTGGACAAGACTGAAAAAAGACTGAACAACAACAATAAAATGTGAATATGTAGCCCACAGGAATCCTTATGTGGGTTTAGTGCTCCTGTTTCTATTTGAGTTTGACACCTCTGCTCTAGGCCACTCTCTAAAGCTGCAACTTGCCCTGGTGGATAGAGCTTCCACTTCTGGGAGGTCCCTTTTCCAAGGAAATAATAAATCAAATGCCTATCCCAGTCCATATTTACCAGAAACTAGGCTTAGTGAGAGGTAAGACATAGTTTAAAAAAAATAAAAATCACTAGTTCTAGTCTGGGCATTTCTACTTTATTTTAAAGCCCTAGCCAAGAAACCTCCTTCTCTCTGGGCCTATTTCCCCATATAAAAAATGAAGGTGTGCTTAGACTAATATTCTCCAAGTCCACAAAAGCTGCAGAATGGGTGTCAGTGCTAACTCTAAACTCCAGGTGTCCCCACTCACCAATGATATCACCCAACACAGAGCAGTGGGAAGGCTCAGGCAGAAGCACAAGGCAATGTCCATTCATTCCTGCTTTTTCCAACCACATTGTGTATGAACACCCTCTATAGACCTCGTACCTTCTCCTGCTCCCAGACCCCAAGGCCATCTTTCCTCATTTCTCCACCGTAGACCTCTTTACCTCCTGGTCAAACATTGCCCAAAACTGCAACATACCGTAAAGATTTTCATGATGCAGCTACATGTTATATCACCCTGGGGGAGGGGGATTACACGACAGAGGAGATCACATTTTATCCTTGAAATCTTCCAGTCGGGTCAATGGAGTTTTTCCAAATGCCCAGAGTGATGCACTCATTTGTTTTAATGAGCTGTGGTATGAGTGGTAGCCACGGGGCTTGATGGAGCCAAATACACTTTTTTTTCCCTACCAAATGGATTTTCTACAAAAATGGAGGCCGTTCCTGTCAAAGATTCGGGAGAGATGAGAAGGGGTCCCTCGTTCAAGAGCTTCCCCTATAATTCGTCTCTGAAAGGACGTTGCCTTGCTTAAATACTGGTAGTGAAGAGGGGTCTAGAAGGAGCTATGAATGTGTCAGAGGGTCAGAAAATACTCTTGTCAAAAATCAAGAGTGTTCCAGGCTAAAGATTGTGAGATGGCCTGTGGCTGTAGAATGCAACAGCCAGGAAGATGGTCTCTTATCACTCAGCAACTAAAGAGGTCAAAGAGTATGCCAGGGTCTTGGCAAAATTATAGTTCCTATAGTCCTCTTGCTGAGGACTTTATCTGATTCTGTCCTAGACTGAGAAGGGCATGTATCTGAACCAGAACTGGAAACAGGAATTTTAGGGCCAAAGGAAGTAGCACAAAGCACACCCTCATTTGGGGAAGGCTTGGGCCATTTCTCTACTGAGCGAAACAAAGACCCTGGAAGATTGTTATACAATGTGGTCTAGAAGGAGACCACAACATTGGCTTTCAGAAAACAGGACAGGAGCTCATTTGAGCCCATTACCTGGCAGTTTCCTATTTTAACTGATCATTTTTTTTTGCTGACTCGGTAGTAAGCAAGTGCTATCAGTGCCCTAGGACAAAGTCCCAGTTGCCCTGTCCTAGTTGTTGTTCTAATATGATCCAAAGAAGGATCTAGGGTGGAGTCTGCTCTGGTCCAGAGATCAGTTCCTGTCAATCAAGGGCTCAGGTCCATTTCACATTGAGTTTAGAGAGATCTGTGTAGCCAGTCTACATATCTCAGGCTTACTATATTGAGCAAAATTGTGCAAAATTGTTTCCCCACTTTTTACCACAATGCATACTTAGAAGTGGCATCATAAGCTGCATCACATTTTCCCACAGAAATAACTCTATGATTGGGGGTTGTTTTCCGGAGGCCTTGGCAATAAATCACAGATATGACTAACAAAATGCCATAAAAACAAAGACATAATAACCTTCAACTTATATAATAATTAAAAATGGTAAAATCATGCTTCCTATCCTACCAAATGGGCATCACTGTGCTGGCACAGTGATTATACTGGGCACCCCAAAGCACTCTGCACAAAGTGTACAATCAGCGCATAAACTGTGCAACGCCAGCACAAATTTGATCTAAAACTAATGTGCTTATCATACCAAACGATTTCATATTTAATTAACAATGATTGCCTTGAATTTAGAAGGGTTGCGGGGAGGTACGGTGATGGGGAAGGTTGGCTTTTGTTTTGGTTTTTTCAAAGATCTGTCTGAAACTTTCTTTTTCTCTTGATCAGTTTCCCTGAAGCAAGGCAACAGCATCCCAAATTCTTTCACTGACCTGAGAGCTGTCTCTTAGCACTTAAGTTGACCTATTTGGCATTTGTTGACAGATATCAGAGCTCTTCACACTTATTTGGAAAGCCATACACACAATCACTGGGTCATTAGCATGGATGTCAAAAATAGGTCCTTCAAATTCTCCCTCACCAAATTGTTAAGACAGGCTTAAAAGAGAATCCTGATTGAGCATCTGCTGTTGCCTTTGCAAACCATATTCTAACAATGGCAGAAACTGAGGGACAATGAAGGATGGCCTGAATTACTGTAGCGTCAGTATGGGAAGGGAAGAGGTCAACCTGACTCCTTAGATAAGATCAGAGGTAGGTACAACAGACCTAGGTGGCAAATGGAGGGCATCCAGGAAGGCTCCCCTCCCCTTAAATCTCCCTTCTAACTTTAGCCTGTCACAGTGATTACTATTAACGATTCATTCTGTTCATTAAGGCAGCTAAGTGGCAAGGTAAATATAGCACTGGTCTTGAAATCAGGAAAATTTAAGTGCAAATCCTGACTCAGACACTTCCTAGCTGTATGAACTGGACAAATCATTTGCCATTCCTCAGTCTGTTTCCTCATCTATGAAATGGGTTTAATAGTATGTATCTCATAGGGCTGATGTGAGATCAAGTGAGATAACATGTGAAGCACTTTGCAAACCTTAAAGTACCATATAAATGCTAGCTATTATTATTATTACTAATCATAATTATTATTGCATTGTTCTTTACCTTTAGAAATAGTTTTGGGATGGGTAACATGTGGCACTGATTCCTAAAATAGTTTGTACTTCTCTTATGGAGCTTACTAATTTTATCTTAGATTACAAATATCTGATTACATGCTTTATGGACTCTATTGTTAGACTGCAAGCTCTTTGAGGTCAGAGATTGCATGTTTGTTATTCAGCACTGTCTCACCCCGTCACAAAGCTTTGCACATTATGGCATCCAAATGTTGGCTCCATGTAAAACCATAACCCAAGAGCTATTCCCTTCCCCTTAACATCTGACTGATGTCATCAACCAGATCTGTCAGGAAATAATAATGATGACTAAAACAACAATAACGAAGATACAGTCCTCCCTCAGAAGGTGACATCACACACATATAAATACACCCACATACATATATAATGAATACTAGACAGCCCTCCAGACCAGTGTGCTGACATCAGTAAAAAGCCAAATCAACAAGTAGTAGTAATAAGGATAACAGTTATAATAACAGCTTACAATCATACACAACTTTAAAACTTAGAAAGTTCTTCCTTTCCAACAGCTCTCCAAAGCAGTCAGAGCGAGAATTAAGTGCCTAAAATGTTTGTTCAGCATGGGCTGTATCATAAGTAATTGGCCCTTCCCTTAAGTCTTTCTGATGCTTCCTAACATTTCCAGATGACCCAGGATTCTCAAGAGAGATGTCATTGAGTAAGAGTGGTTTTTTTTTTTGGGGGGGGGAGAGCAATGGCAAATCATAAAGATAATCTACCAAGGCAAAGAAAGGTTGAGATGTGGGGAGGGAGAGAATACTCACATCAATGAATGCATGGATCTTTTGAAGTCTCAAAGCTGGTAATTGGTCCTAGAACCAGATCTGAGTCCTAGGGACTAGGGAAGCATCCCCAGGTCTAGCCTTGGTCCAACCATGGGATTTTCCCCAGATGATTGGCCTCATTGATAGACTTTTCACAGGATAGGATTTCTAAGTATCTAAGAAGGAATCTGAAGGACAGTAGGATAGGCTGAGACCCTAGATCCCTCCACATTCCCCTCCTGGCTCTGGCTTACAGCAGAGAGGAAAGGATGAAGGCATAAGGACAGTACTGATCTCATCCTGGGTCTTAGTTTACCATCTGATTTCTTGAACTTTGGTCCCAAGCAAATGTATGGAATATTTTTGAATAGCCCCTGAATTGCAGATGACCCACTGCCCACACCTGTCCAAATCTGCTTATTTTGCCTTTAACTTCAGCTGGTTTTTTTCTGTGCCCCAGTATCTAAGCTATCTCCCTTTCCTCCTCTCAGAACTGTTAATGCTGCAAAGGAGGGTGAAGCTAGGAAGGATGGTTAAGCAGCTGTTTGCATGGAAGGCTTTGTGACCTTTTTTTTTTTTTGCTACAGTTTTATGCCCATAAGTCTTTTCTCCTCAACTAGATTATAAGATCTTTAAGGGCAGGGACCACCATTCTTCTCGTATCTCTTGTAATAACTCATGAGGGCTCCGTCCATGGTAGGGAGGCAACATGGAGCAGTGGAAAGAACATTGGCCTTGGAGTCAGCACAACCACTACTCTTTGTGGTTTTGACATCTATTGTGTGACCAGAGGCAAGTCATTGATCTCTCTGAGCCTCAGTTTCTTCTCCTGTCAAGGAGAGATAATAATACTCACACTACCTGTCTACCCCACAGGCCTATTATGTGGCAAGTATGTGGTCAACCTTCAATCTCACTTCCTTGCCACCAGCTCTAAACCGTGTTGCCTCCACTGGCCATTGTCTTACCTCCTCCCCAGTAGAAACTTGAATTTCATGCTGGGACTCACCCTGGGACCTGAAAGGGGAGCTTTTTACCTTATCTTGCCCTAAACCAAGCCACCACCTTACTTCCAGGCCACCAGCTCCAAACCATGCTCTGACCTTGGTCAGAGGAACAGTGGTGTGGCCAGTTGGGGAACAATGGTAGTGTTGCTCTAGCTTGGCCTTACACATCATGGATGGTGGTGATGTCTGTGTATCAAGTTCAATGGTAGGATGAGACCCTGAAACAGCTGTAATGGGGGGAATGCAATCCCCCATGTAGAAGAGGGTGGGGAGCACGCTTCTAGAAAGGCATTATGAGGTGTAACGAAAGTGCCTTGCTCCCCGATCTGGAGCATGTGTAGACATTCTGTAACTGTTTTCAGTTTGCTAACCATGCAGTTAGAGGAGCCTCTTTGGCTATGATGTCAGAACTGGGCAGCATTCAAAAAGTACTAGTCAGTCAGAACCTAATGCTTTTTTAGTCTTTTTTATCTTCCTGGGGTTGGGGGAAATGTTTGTATTTCTGTTCTTACTATTGGTTTTGAAGTAAACTTCTTTGAAAAACTAACTAATGTTAAATGGCCCTGGGATGGTAACACACTAGAATGTGGGCACAACCTAAGCGCATTAAAAAAGACACCTCATTCCTTCAGGGGCTCCCCTAGTACCCTGGAGGGGAGATATATCTGGCTTCCCTCTGGAAAAGGAAGTCTGGGGCCTCCCTCCACAGAGAGGGGAGCTTTACCCTAATGTGTTCTTCTCACTGGCAAAGGCAGATTATTGGGAGAAGAAGGGAAGGAGAGACAGGGCTTGGAGTAAATGATGTGCTAGTAAGATGGTGCTGCTATTGGTCCCAAAAGGAGAGGCAGGATGGATGACTTCATAATGCTAATTGTTTTCCACATTCTCCGATTCTCCTGCCATGATCAAGGCTCCTCTGGGGAACACTTACTAAAGGCGAGCAAGTTTGTATTTCATAGGCATTCATCAAGTGTAAAGACTTACTAACTCTATTGAGATTTTTAAATCTCTTGGAAATCACACAGGAAAAGAAAAGCCCAACCAATAATTCAAAAGAAAAAACCCTACTGAGAAGTGTCATACCATGCTAGCTGCATCATCCCTGCTGGTGGAAAGGAACTTCCAGGGATAGCAGTCTTATCAGCCAGCATTAGATGACCAGGGTGCAACAGGCTGGGTCCATTCCCAAGCTGCCTGACTACTAGGGGATGCCTGGGTATTAGTCAATGGCAGGATATATGTGGGGCTTCTAGGGGTTGGGTTTTCATGCAGGTCGGACTCCAGGCACAACTGCGTAATAGGCCAAATTTGTCTTTGGCATCCCCTAGATCCCTTTTTTCCAAACTCTATCCTTTCTATGTCCTTCTTACCCAACCCTGAGGTGTCCATGTTGCCTGACTCCCTGTCCAATACTGGTTCCTAACTCCGACCCGCCCATCTTACAGAATTATTATAAACTTTAACTCTCCCACTCACCAGCTCCATGACCCTGGGCAAGTCACTTAAGTTCTTGATTCAATTTTAACATTCAATGAGTATTTATATACAAAATGAGAATAAAAATACTTAATAGTACCTACCTCACAGAATTATGGGAAAAGCATATTGCAAGCCTCATGGTGCTATAAAAATGTGAGTTATTACTATTTGATTCATCTCAGCTCTGCCTCTCACAGTGCTAGGAGTCAGCCTGTATTATTAGGACTTCTATACCTGACAGTGATATACATAAATATGTATATATGTATATGTGTTTATGTAAACATACAGCATACACACATGCACATCCATGTGTACCTATGCCACATGTACTTATATATCCATGTTCATGCACACACACATGCAACATAGGCATATACACATGTAGATATGTGTGTATATACCTCAGTCTGTGTTATCAGGACTTCTCTACATCACACTGATACATGTATAATAATATATGCATATCCATGTGTATACATATCTTTATATGTATACACATATTTATACATTTATATATGTATACACATATTTATATATTTATATATGTATACACATGTTTATATTTCTCTGTGTGTATATATTTAACATACACATATATGTATACCTGTATGTATATCTAGGTGTGTTTATATACATATATATGGATAGATATCTATATACACACACACATACATATACCTGTCACAGGTTTGGCTTTTTCAAAGAGGTTCTACAGCTGTCCGTGTACTTCATTTTCATGAAAACTCCATAAGGTAGGCAAGACAGATATTCTTGTAATTTATAACAAAACCCATTAAAATATTTTTCTTAATTTTAGACTTGAGTGTTTCCTTCAAATGAACTGAATTTATTGAAAACTTTCTTTGTGTAAGGTGAAGGTGAGAGAACAAAATTCTGCCAGGGTAAATTGATTTGCTCAAAGGCACAGCCAGTGAAGCCCGGAGGCAGACCTGGGATGTGGCCTTGGGTCTCCTGTCTCCCAACACTGCTCTCCTCCAGCTGGTCACATCAGCCTGGGGAGGTAAAAGAAGCTCCTTTATATAAACGCTCATTGAATGATGAAATTGAGGCTAAGAAGTTAAGTGACTTGCCCAGGGTCATACAGCTGATAATTACTACCGAATCAACCTTACCTTCAGGCTGTTGTAGGCTAGATCTGCATCTTGGTCTGCATCTGTTTCATTCTTTGTTTCAATCACCTGCAAAGATGAAGACAGATAGATAAGGGATAGAGAGCTATAAACAGCAAGATGCGAGAGGATGGTGGATCAATACCTTGCCTTGAACTACACCGATTCCTCATTGGTGCGCTTCTAGAAACCAGAGGCCTGAGCTGCAATGCCAGCCCTAACACTCTCTAGCTGTGGGACCCAGAATCAGTCTCTTAGCCTTTCTAGAGGTCAGTTTCATCATCTACAAAACGGCGATACTGCTCATAATGCCTATTGTACCTCATGGGATTGCTGTTAAAAACAAACAAACAAAAAAGCCCCATAAACCTTCAGAGATAAGATTGATGGCTCTGCGTACCTGCCTTACCCTCTGCACACTGTTCTCCCCACTGAGTTACTGTCCTCACAGCTCACAATTCGCTTTTTTCATTAAGCTTTCTGTGACTGAGCAGACTTAACGGTTAAAGAGAAGTGAGTGATTTGCCCAGAGTCACTCAGCCTCCTGTTTCCAAGTCAGAACTCCCTTTTCTACCTTACCATGCTCCTTTGGGTAACATTGCCTAGTACAGGGAAAGGGAAGGGAAGAAGCATTTACATAACACCTGCTACGTGCCACACTCTATGCTTATCATTTTACAATTAGTATCTCATTTGAGCCTCACAACAACCCTAGGAAGGGGGGGGGTGCTGTTGTTATCCCCATTTCACAGATGAGGAAACTAAGGCAGACAGTGGGTGAAATGTCTTGCCTAAGGCCACATAGCTAGAAAGTGTCTAAGGTTGGATTTGAACTCCAGCCTTCCTGACTCCAGGCCACCCAGTTATAGGAACATCTGTAGAAACATTAGCCCCATGGTCCTAATCTCCAGGTTGACTTTCCACACGCTAAGCCACAGAGGTATCACACACATCTCCCTCAATGTAAATGAACTTGATTGTTGGCAGCTCAAATTCATTATAGTCCTGGCTAGCAGTCATGGTGCCAGGGTCATTGCCCTGGCAACACGACAGATAAACAAATATTGATTTTACATCCCATCGATTTCAGTGCCATCTCCACTTACAGAAGCATCTTTCTTCATGGTTGACAGTTGCGCCATAGATCTCTACCCAGGAAAAATAATTTGGGGGAGTCTGCTTCTCAGAATTTTCTAGGGCAAGGCAGGTGAGGCAGTATGTGTATGTGACCCTAGCTACTAAGGAGGCTGAGGCTGGTGGACCTCTTGAGTTGAAGACTTCCATGCTGCAGGGGGCTAAGTTCATGGGGTGCCCACACGAAGTTTGACATTAATATGGTAAGCCTATGTGAGCAAGGGCCCACCTGTTTGCCTGAGGAGAGAACTAGCTGGGGTTGGAAATGGAGCAGGTCACAACTCCTGGGCATATCAGAGTGGGACCAGGCCCTTGAGTATCTCTTGTACTTTCAATCTGGGCAAAACAGGGAGACTTACTCTAACCAAAAAAAATGAATAAAAATCCTAGAGCACACTGGATCTCTCTTTTGTCCCTAACACATTCCACCTTGTAGAGTATATGTGACCATATCATATTCTACAAATCCCTACCCCCTCCTAGAATGGAAACTTCCCAAGGACTGGAACTGGGGAGAGGGGGACTTTTTACCCTACACTTTAGTTTTTTTATTAGCAATTTCATTAGCCTAAGACATTTCGGGCAAGGTGCTCCCTCTACCAATGTTAAGTGCAAACTTATTCTTCAACTGATAATCTTAGGAAGTTGCTTGGGGCAGATCTCAAGAGACAAAATGAGCAGAGACTCACAATCGTATGTGTCACAGGCAGGACATGAACCCAGGTCTCCCAGATCGCAAAGCTGGCCTGCTCCTTATGCATTATGCCACATTCCCTCCTTGCTAAATTACATTCAGTGACCCTCGGTCTTGGTCTTTTTACCAAGGAAAGCCTCAGTAACTGGCTGGGACTTATGAAGTAGATTCTGGCTGGTCCGGGAATGGGGTTTCAGGATGTCATAACTGGGTTCTGTTGGCTTTCTCCCCTATTATCTCTTGTTTCACTTAGTTAGGAGCCAGTGATTTATTTAGGTGGGATCCCAAGTCTCTCACTTTCATTCCTGATCTCTGGGACAAGAAGCTGACCCAGTTAGTACCCAGAATAGCTATCCAGAGGATGGGTTTTCTGGATCATTTGGAACTGCTAGACTGAGGGCATGGGAAATGGAGGGATAAAATACAAACAATTTTTGGATTCAGAAGGAAGCAGGGGCAAGATTTTTATTCTTTCTTTCTTTTCTCTTTCTCTTCCTTTTTCTTTTTTTTGGCACCTTCTGATCTAGTCCAATTGGCTTTCCATACATTTGATTACTGCCTGTCACAGCAGCTTCTTTCCTAATGTAATGTGTCACTTATAAACCTAATCCTTTCACCCTCCATTCTGAGTCTAATCTACCAGAGAGATTTAAATCCATCAGCATGACTCAGAGGCCAGCTTACTGCAGGGGATGGGGGTGACTTCGGAGGGTCTCAGAGGAAGGAGCAAGCACAGTCATACAGAAGAAAAGGTTGTGCCAGCTTCTTGAATTTGCACAAGGTGCACATAGTGTGTGCCATGTATGTATGATATACTCTTCACAGTGGAGTATACGGCTGCTTAAGGCTGGGGTGAAGGTTAATAACACCCCGGTTTTTAATACTGCTTTATGTATGGTGTGGGTAGCACAGTAAATAGAGAGCTGGGCCTGGAGTGAGGAAGACCTGGGTTCAAATCCAGCCTCATACTTACTAGCTTTGTGACCCTGGGCAAGTCACTTAACTCCATTTGTCTCAGTTTCCTCATTTATAAAATGAGCTGGAGAAGGAAAAGGCAAACTGCTCCAGTATCTTTGCCAAGAAAACCCCAAATGGGGTCACAAAGAGTCAAACATGTGTGCAGTGACTGAACAACATGCATGGTTCCAGAAAGCCAATGACCCTTCATAGAATACTAAGATTTAAAGCCAAAAGGACTCCAAATAAAAAACAGGGCTTATTTTAATCCAACCCTCTCATTTTACAGAGGAGGAAATTAAGGTACAGAGAAAGAAAAAGAGCTCCCCAAGATCACAGAGGTAAGAAGTAGCAGAGCCAAGATTTAGATCCCAGGTCCTCTGACTCCAAGTCTACATTCTTTATCAATCCCCATGTTATATGTCAATCTTGCATAGGTTTTAAGTAGGCCAAGAATTTTTAGCTTCCTCTAACTTAAAATAAAATTTTAAAATGAAGAAGTCCATGTGGAATTACAGCAGGCCCCTTGCAACATCCATTGATTCTTTCTCAGAACTCCTTTAATATCTACAATTTGGGCCTCATAATTTAACCTTTGGTGTTATACTGTATTGCATTTGTTTTTGTAATAGTAATAACTCACCTTGATATAGTGATTCAAAGTAACAGAATGTTTCCTGAACATTCTTTTATTTAATCCTAACAAGGCCCCCATGAGGTAAGGGGGGAGGTAGTATAAATATCATGATTCTTGTATTGCTGATGAGGAATGTGAGGCTTCAGAAAAGAAATGACCTGCCAAAGGTCACACAGATAGTAAACAGAGCTAAGACTTGGACCTCTGATGTCAAATCCAATGTTCATTCCATGACATCACATTATCCCTTGATCCTGCCCTTCCTATACCATCTTGTTAGCTTTTATTTTTTTCAACCAGACTATAAACCATATCTTCTGTCCCCCTTGGAAACACCCAGGAAAAGGGAGATTATATTCTAAAGATGGCAGAGTAAAAAGGTAGTTGCTCTCACCCTCCCCTATCAGTCTCTAAAAACCCAGAAAATATCACCCCAGAAAAAAAAAACCCTGGAACAGCTGAACTAGAAGAAAGATGGGGAACAGCAGTGCAGCAGCCCAGCAAATGGGTCTCCCAGTGCCTCAGCAAAAATAAGGGAAGCAGCACTACAAAGGACCCTAGGCACATAAGCACCCTGAAGCATTCATCCAAAAGGGGATGAAGAAAGCAATCTAGGGTCTTCCTAAAGTCCCAGCCTTGCTGATTCCAACCCAACACCAGGTAAGCTGTCAGAACCCTTACAGCCTCCAACTGTCAACCAGGAGGAAATCCTGAAGCCCAGGTGGTAGAGCAGGCAAACACCAACACCTGGACCTCCAAGTGCCTCAATAAGGGTGGGGGTGGGGGTGGGGGAACTGGGGGAACTGGTGGAAACCAGCTCAGAAAATCACCAGGTGCCTCGGAACTCTGCCACAAAGTAATCTCCCAGTACATTAGCAGAAATGAGGGAAGCAGCATTGCAAGGGGCCCCAGGCAGATAAACACCCCAGCATCCATCTAAAAGGAGCTTAAGGAAAGGAAAAGCAGGCAACCTAGAATTGCCTGAAAGTTCCAACCTTGCTGACTCTAGCCCAACACGAGGTAAGCTGCTCAAACCCTACAGCCTCCAATTGTCAACATAAGAGGCCCCAGTACACAAAGCCAGTGACCAAGACCTAGGCTCCCAACACAAGAAGAGTGGGTCAGTGCCCTCTGTTTCCCAGCAGGAGAGCTCAATCCCTTTAAAGGTCAGGGAATAAAGAAACCATAACTAAAAAGAAACGTACCATAGAGTCATATTATGAGAAGAGTGAAGATCAAGACAGAAATTCTGAAGAGGACAACATTGTCAACAAACCCACATCTGCAACATCAAAAGGGAATATGAACTGGTGTGAAGCCCAAAAAGCCTTCTTAGAAGAGCTCAAGAAGGATTTTAAAAGTCTAATGAGAGAGGTAGAAGAGTCCTTAAAATATACAATTGGCCAATTGGAAAAAAAGTACACTGAAGAAAACAAGTCCCTAAAAAACACAATTGGCAAACTGGAAAAAAGTACACTGAAGAAAACAAATCCCTTAAAAATACAATTGGCCAATTGAAGAAGGAAGTACAAAAACTAACAGAAGAAACAATCTGTTAAAAACTAGAATTGGACAAATGGAAACTAATGACTCTATGAGAGAGCAAGAATCAGTCAAACAGAAACAAAAAATGAAAAAATATGAAAACTAAAATACCTCATTGGTAAAACAACCGACCTGGAAAATCATCCAGGAGAGACAATTTAAAAATCATTGGACTACCTGAAAATCATGATGAAAAAAAGAGCCTGGACAGTATCTTTCAGGAAATCATAAAGGAAAACTGCCCAGAAGTCCTAGAACCAGAAGGGAAAATAACCATAGAAAGAAGACACACTCACCTGAAAGAGATCCCAAATTGACAATGCCAAGGAATATAATAGCAAAATTCCAAAATTACCAGATGAAAGAGAAGGTGCTGCAAGCAGCCAGAAAGAAACAATTTAAATATCATGGAACCACAGTCAGGATTACACAGGACCTTGCAGCTTCTACATTAAAAGACCACAGGGCGTGGAACATGATATTCCATAAGGCAAAGGAGCTTGGATGCAGCCAAGGATCAATACCCAGCAAAAATGAGCATGATTTTTCAAGGGAGGAGATGGATATTCAACAAATAGGGACTTCCAAACCTTCCTGATAAAAAGACCAGAGCTCAACAAAAAATTTGATCTTCAAGTACAAGATTCAAGAAAGACATAAAAAGGTAAATGGGACAGAAAGATACAAAATGTTGTTAATAAGGGGACTGTTTACATCCCTACAAGGGAAGATGACACTTGCAACTCTTGAGAACTGTATTGTTATTACACCTGTTAAAGGAGTATACATAAAGGGGTGGATATTAGTTGACTTTGATGTAATGATAAAAAAAATCTAATCAAGTGGGTTAAATGGATCCAAGTAAGTGGATTAGTCTGATCTTAGAAAATGTACTGAGAAAGGAGGAGGCAGACAAGGGTAAATTACATTACAGGAAAAGACAGAAAATCCTATTACAGCAGAGGGAAAGAAGGGAGGGGGTGAGCATTGTTTGAACCTTACTCTCATCAGATTTGGCTCAAGAAGGGAATAACATAATCAGTTAGGTATAGAAATCTAACTTGCCTTATAGGCAGTAGGAGGGAAAAGGGGAAAGAAAAGGGAGGGGGGATAGAAGGGAGGGAAGAAGCAGTAAGAGCAAAGGGGAAAAGGGAAAGGGATAATAAAAGGAGGAGAGACTGAAGGTGGTCAAAAGCAAAACACTAGTGGGGGGGAAAGGAGAAAGGAGAAAGAAAAGCATAAAGGGGGGAAAAAGGATAGAGAAAAAGACACAGATAGTAATCATAACTCTGAAAGTTGAATTGCTATCTTTTTTTTCTCTTCTGTTGAGTTTTGTTTCCTCTTTCTGATGGTTCCTGCTATTGGTTTTAATTTTTACTTACAACTTCATTAATGCAAAAATATGTTTAATAGGAATGTAAATGTATAGCCTATATCAGATTGTGTGCCATATTGGGGAGGGTGGTGGGGAGGAAGGGGGAGAAAAATTTTAAACTCAAAAGCATATGGAAGTGATTGTTGATAAATCAAAATAAAAAAAGAAAATAAATTAAAAAAAAAAGAAAAAAAACACCCAGAGTCATGCACAGAGTAGGTACACAGTCTATCTCACAGGTGAGAAAGAACAGAAGAAGAAGATGCAGGAAACTATATTATCCATCTTGCTGTTGTTTGTACTTCATTTTTGAAGAGGACCATGACATCAAGGAGGTGATGCCGTAACATGCAAGTGAATTAGAGGTGAGTGAGGGAGGGCTGTGCAAAGTTACCTGCCTCACTTTCTCCTCCAGAGCTATCTGAGTCCAGTGGCCAGATATAGAACAGGATGACTGAAGATGGTCCAGGATGCAGCAGCCTTTTCAAGCTAAGGTCTTTAACAGGTCTCAGTTTGACTGAGGCAACACCCACTCAGTGATTAAGGCTTAAGAGGTGAAAACCACCACTGGAAAACCTACATCTTACCAATTAAAGCAGCTTAACTTAGGAATACTTAGGCAAGGTCCTATTCTGCTATTCCAACAAGGAGGGCTTGGGGAATGCAAATAATAGAATCCAGGCATTGTTGTTATTCAGTCTTTTCAGTCACATCCAACTCTTCGTGACCCCATCTGGGGTTTTCTTTGCAAAGATACTGAGGTGGGTTTGCCATTTCCTTCTCCAGTTCATTTTACAAATGAACAACTAAGGCAAACAGGGTTAAGTGACTTGCCCAGAGTCATACAGCTAGTAAATGTTTGAGGCTGGATTTGAACTCAAGTCTTCCTGATTGCAGGTCTAACACTATCTACCATGCCACCTAGTTGCCCCAATTCTGGTTTAACATGTTTGATTAGTGAGTATGCACATTGGATTATTTATGACCAGGTTAGCTCACACACCCCGAAGTCCATCATTACATGACCACTCCAAACAGCCAAACCTTGATATACCCAGGAGTAGTCTATGGAGGGTGAGGGAGGGTGATCAGTGTTTCTCCTAGCCTATGCATTACAAGGGGTCCCTAAGAACCTCCCTGTACCTGGACTTTCTTGTTTTCTTGTTGCTCCTTCTCCAGTTGAGTTTGCAATTTCTTCCTTTCCTGCTCCAGCTCCCGAACTCTCTTCTGCAGCTTCAAGAAGACAGACATGTCCATAGCTGCCTTCTCCAGGCCCATTTCCTTCAGGGACAGGTGGAAAGAAAAGAAAGATGTTCCAGACAAGGCAAATACTTTAGGGTAACACCTCATTATCTACTTGTCTTTTGTCCCTGCCCTTCTCCTTCACAAGCTAAATGAGTAGCTTGACTTCTATCCAAACACATGGGACCCTTCCACATCATGGACATTGATACTAATGGATTTTAAGTCTTTTCCAAAGGAGTCTTATAATGCAAATCTCCCTGAAAACCTGCAGAGCATTTGAGTTTTAGACATAAACCATTCTCTTACAGAAATCCATTAAAAATGGCCAATTGTAGTAAAAGTCAAATTGGATGAAAACAAAGCCCTTTCGGGGAGAAGGGTGAAAAAGAATTCTTTAAAACACAGAAGCAAAACAGTCCCACGTAAGAGACACTAAAGAATGTGGATAATAAAACCTTCTTATTAACAATCTATGTGATCAGTAATCATTGCCAACACTGTAATCAAACCATGATAGATTATACCCTGAGACAATAGTAATACATCTGCTTCTACATCTAACATGTTATGGAACAGTGGTTTCTCAAGAGATTTTTTTTTCCTTCAGGCTGTGTGTTTCTGTCCTACAGATTTTTAAATATATGTGCCTGGGAGGAACTTCACCTAGGGGTTCTGCCCCTGTGGAGAAGAGGTCCACTATCCCCATCCTTACCACCACTACCACCATCATCAATTGCGACTTTCAAGGTGGTAAGTCCAAGAGCCGTGGGAACAGGAGTGTTTAACCACACCGCTGGCCCTACTTCCAGCCTGGCCCCCATAGTCATCATCATAGGATACAAGTCTTGTAAACATGAGACCAGGCATTTTGGAGTGTCTTTCAGGAAGTGATCGTTGTATTCTTTCCAATTTCACGTTGACCACTTGTTTTAATATGTTTGGGCAATTTTCTTTAATGATCTCTTAAAATAAGAGATCCAAGTTCTTTTTTGGTCAGAGATTTAAGGTAATCAGGTAATTCTTAAATTATGATTCTTAAATTATCCCTCCTTAATGTTTTTCAGGTCAGTTGTTTTTGATATGAGATATATTTTCCTCAGGTTCCTCATTTTTTTTGTTTTGTTTCAATTTTTTAATTTATTTTTTAAATTTATTTTTTACCTTTTTTAATTTTGTTTTAAGAATGCTTGTCGTCTCCTGAAATCACTAATTTTCATTTGGTGCATTCTGATTTTCAGGGAGTTTATTACTAGGGTGAGGTTTTGTACTTCTATCAAGCTGTTAATCCTTTTAAAAAAATATTTCTTTCTTCCACAGCTCTTTCATTTCTTTTATTACATCTCTTAAAAATTAGCATAATTTCTTTGAGGAATTCTAATTGTTTTTGTAGGGAAGCTGTTTATTCTTTGATGTTTTGATACTAAGTGTTTTTTAATTATTCTCCTCTTTCAGGTGTATGTGTTGGTCATCCCTGTCATCACCAAAGTCTTTTATTGTGTTCCTTTGTTGTTTACCAATTTTTGCAGCTGAAGCCTCAGGAATTGAGTTCTAGGCCTCTCCTGCTCAATCAAGTTGAAGACCTTTCCTTTACAGTGATGGTCTTTCTTTAGTCCTCTCCCCTCACCACGAACATCAAAGTTTTCCTCTTCTGTGATCAGCTTCAGTACAAGCTCTTTTCTTTATATGAGAAGAGAGGAGAGGCTTTTTCTTTAATCTTCAGTGAAATCTGAATATGCCCTTCTCTTATGGGAGGCATCTAGCTGAAGTCTTTTCCTTCAAGGGGGTGAAAAGAGAGGGTAAGGGCCATTTTTTACACAATTAAAAAAAATCAAAGGTCAGCCTGAATGGAACCTTTTCTTTCTTCAAATGGAAGTGTTTGTTTTTTCCTTAGTGCATCAGGTTTTTCTTTTACCTAGGTGCTTAAGTCAGGCACTTTCACTTTAGTCTCTTAGGGGGTTTCTTCTTGCTGAAGCAACCAAGGATTTTAGGGTGAAGCCTTTTGATTTCATCCTGCAAGGGATTTTTGCCCACTGAGGTCTGAATCCTTTCTCTTTCATCCCTGAAGGGATCTAGATCATATTTACTGCCTGTCTAAGAGGTGGGTTGTTAGTAACTGAATTCATAGTGAGATACAGCTGACCTGTGGTGCTTCCATCTTGGTCTGGAAAAATCTTTGCTTGGAAAATCTTTGGAAAGATTTTTGATGAGACACAGATCTCATTTTTAAGATACAGTCTTGATTTTTCTATTTGTGTCCCTAGTGCTTGGAACAGTAGGCACTTAATAAATGTTTTTTCATTCATTCAACTGTGACTGTAACATTATGATCACAGAATGTCAGAAGTGGTAAAATCCACAGAGATCAACCAACTATGTCTTAGGTAGTGGGGGTACAAATTTTAAAATGAGGCAGTCTCTGCCCTCAAGGATTTTATATTATACTAGGCAGATATAACACATATTGGACCTCAGTATCCTCATCTGTAAAATGAGGAAGTATGACCAGATGGTCTCTCAGGTCCCTTCCAGTTCGGACATTCTGTGTTTCTTAATACACATACTTACCTTGGGGGTAAGACATATCCTTCAACTTCTCTGTTCACCACTGATCAAATTTTACATCCTAATAGGAGATATCATTGCTGCTTAAAGCTATTCAGGCAAGGAGCATCACCATTTCTTTCTCTCCAACAAATTGTATATAGTGGCCTTGAGCCAGAGAGACTTACCTCCACCTGCTGGATTGCATCTTCAGTATCCCCAATCTCAGATGTGGAGACTGATGGGTAATTCGAGTCAGATTCTAAACTACTCTGGTTTGAAGGGTTTCGCCTATGACCTGGGGTTTGCTGTTCAAAGAGACAATTGCCAAAATAATTTAACACATGACATCTCATAAAAGGACAGTGTTAAGCAGCACCATAAATTCTGGAGAACAAGTAGATTTTTTGTTTTTTTCTGTTGTGGCATTAATCTCATTTAAAAAATCGGTATTTCTGGCCTCTTAGAATGGTATTAATAGAGTCATCCCAAAAGAGCCATTTCATCCACATTTCTGATAGCCAACTAAATAATGACATCACAATCCAACAAACACACGCTTGCCCTATTGGAAGGATTGGCAACTCTGTTGCTCAATGAAATGCAAATCCATAAGACTTAGGTTAACAATCTACATGACAGGGCCTTGTGAAATGATCCCTGACTCCCCAGGCACACAGTAAGCATCTCCAGAGCTGCATGTCATTATTTGCCCTCTTAAGAGGAGCCTGGAAAAAGAGCCCTTAGGTCTCCCCTCTCTGTTGCTATTACAGGAAAAATTTGAAAATTGGTGGATATTAAAAATGGAGTTTTCCATTTACATAGTTTATGTAGAGTAACATTTTTTTTTTCTTTTTCAGTATCTGACTCAACTGAAAGAGTAAAAGACAGATTTGCTGGGGCCATTTTATAATTCCACGTATGTTCCTACTCAATTTCTCTTCCTGCTTACTCAACCAATGTTGTATGGGTAAGAAATCCTGCAGGGAAATGCTTACATGAAGCAGAAAGAAAAACAATGATTGAAATTCTGAATTATCATGAAAACATGTCTATGTATGTGATGTTTCATCAGGTATTTGAGAAAACAATCCGAATGGAATAGTATTCAAAGCATGTCTGAGTCACTTTACACAAGGTACCACTGAAACCACATTAGGCCTTTTCAGCTTCATTCATATGTCAGCTTCAACTGAAGATGAAGCATGCTTCCCCACCTCTTGGCACAGAGCTAATGGACTAGAAGAACAGAAAGAGGCTTACATTTCCATACATGGCCAATATGTGGATTTGTTTTGCTTGAAGTTGGTGGGTGGTGAAATTGATGTGAGAGAAAGAAAGAAAAAGAAAGGAAGGAAGCAAAAAAGAGCAAAGACGAAAAATATACAGTAGATAGCATAAAGAGGTTCAGAAATGGACACAGAGAAATTGCATTGCTCCTGTATTAAATTTAATAGACATTTAAAAACAAAGTAGTAATAGAGATCCAAAGGTTTACTTATACAATGTTCTTTCTCTACAAACTGATGTTTCATGTTTGTCAAGTTTGCAGTTAAAAAAAGAGAAATTTAATTTAAAATATTTAATTTAAAATATTTATCAGCTTCAGATGGTGATGGAGGCACAAAAATTTCCCTAAACTGGGAAAACCCTAAAACCACTTGCTGGTTAGTTCCCCAACAATGTACCACAGGATCCTTTACAAGACATAGAAGTCACATCTAGACAGTGCTTGACGGTAAGTTTTTTTAACCAGATAACTTGCTTACAATTATACCTCCCTGTAGGAAGGTCATGCCTTGTCAGAGATCAATTCCAGTGGACTAGGCAAAATGAACAACGAGGTCAAGAAAGGATTTGAGTAGACTAGAGGTGTGTAGCAGGAAGGAATTATTTTCATTACCCTTATGATGGTCATCTCATCCCGAAGGTTGTCATAGCTTTGCTCCAGTCGAGAATATTCCTTCACAAGGTTTTGGTATCGTGACCGTTCCTCCTCCAGCTCCTTCTTCAGTAGGAGATTCTCCTTTACCGAATTTTGGGCAAATTCATCTGAAACGAAGGCATATTAAGCTGCCATTTCTTCTGCCAAATGAGTTCCTCTAATGTTTATTGTCACCAGTACACTGATTAGAGTAGACCCTTTGTCAAAAGCCTATCTGTGACGGGGTTGGTGTATCTGCCTCTGATGAATCCACGAAAACACTTCATTTAATACATAAGAGAGATGCCCATCTCATCATGCAAAAGCCAGCAGAGAGGGGAAAAGTCTTGCCCAGAAAGAGTTTGAGGAGAGAGGAATGCCAAGCATCTGGACAGCCTTGGGACTATGAAGTGGGCATTGAATTTCATGGTTTTTCAGGCTCAAGCCATTCCAACAGGTATAATGGGAGTTGCTGCCAGTGTCAGTGGAAGAATCCACGCCCACACCTTCCCACCTGAACCTGAAGTTGCTAAACCACTATTGGCCTGGTAGGATTAGGGTTGATGGAGGAGTGAATAAATCCAAAAGGGATAGAGCATGAAGGCTCATGGAGATAGTTGGAGAGATTGAATTGCATTCTAACACAAACTCTGTTTTATTTCTATCAGTGAAGAGAAACAATAGACAACAATTTAAAAAAAAATCTAGATAATCCAAAAGTTATTTAGGATTATAGGGTCAAAGATTTAGAGCTGAAAGGAACTTAAATGTCATTTCAGTGGTGCCAAATTCAAACAGAAACAGATTTCCACAGCTGAAGAGAAAATCACAAATTTACGCTATTTATGCTGCATTGTATTTTTATTTATTTTGCTGAATATTTCTCAATTACATTTTAATCTGATTTAGTTTGGAATTTTACAGGTGGTGAGGTTGATACTTCTGATCTAGTTCGACCCATTGATTACATTGTGGTACAGGGATCATGTGAACTTTTTAAAAATTGGTAACCACATTTCAATATCATTGGTTTCTTTTGTTAACAATGCTTTTTTTTTTTAAAGTGAGGCAATTGGGGGGTTAAATGACTTGCCCAGAGTCACATAGTTAGGAAGTATTATGTGTCTGAGGCCAGATTTGAACTCAGGTCCTCCTGACTCCAGGGCTAGTGCTCTATCCACTATGCCACCTAGCTGCCCCAACTTGAGTTTATTGAGAAGAGGGGTGACATGGTTGAACCTACACTTTAGGAAAATCACTTTAGTGACTGAATGGATAGATTGGAATGGGGAAAGACTTGAGGTTCACAGACCCACCAGCAGGCTACTGTAATAGTCTAAGCATAAGGTGATGAGGGTCTGCACCAAAGTGGTGTCAGTGTTGTGCAGAGAAAAGGGCTTATTGAACAGATAGGCATCCGCAACAGATTGGATATGGGGGGTGAGAGATAGGGAGAAGCTGAGGCTGGCTCCTAGATTGTAAACCTGAGGGATCTGGAAGATGGTGTTGCCCTCTACAGTTATAGAGAGGGTAGAAAGGGTGGGGGAAAGTTTAAGGGGAAAGGTAATGAGTTCTGTTTTGGACATATCAAGTTTAAGATGTCTACCAGATGTCTGAAAGGCAACTGGAGATCAGAGACTGAAGGTAGGCAGAGAGATTGGAGTAGCATAGGAAGACTTGAGAATCATTAATCAAATCCATGGGAGCTGCTCTCCCTCCTCATCTCCGCCTACTGAGCCCCCGGGCTTCTTCTAAGTCTCAACTAAAATCGCTTCTTCTCAACTTTCCTAATTCTAGTGCCTCTTTGTTGTTGTTGAATCATATCTGACTCTTTGTGACCCTATTTAGGGTTTTCTTGGCAGAGACACTGGAGTGGTTTGCCATTTCCTTCTTCAACTCTTTTTATTGATGAGGAAACTGAGGCAAATGGCTTTAAGTGCTTTGCCCAGGGTCACACAGCTCATCAAAGAGCTGGAAGATGAACTCCAGGCCTGGCACTCTATCCATGTAGCTATCTTACTCTCTGGATTATTATTATTCATCTTATCTACAGCTTGTTTTTATATACTTATTTGCTTGTTATCTGTCCCATTAGATTGTGAGATCCCTGAGGACAGGGTCTGTTTGCCTCTTTTTATATCCCCGGAGTTTAGCAGAGTACCTGGCACAAAGTAGGCCTTTAATATACGTTTATTGACTAGCTTTTACCTTGGGCAAGTCCCTTACCCACTAGACTTGTTTCCTCATAAAATCAAGCTTGAGACAGATGCAGAATGACAGATAATTAGTGGTGATACCAGGACTACATTCCAGACTTCCATTCCTGGCCTCTTTCTACTCTACTGTGAGTTCTTAACCTTTTCCTTTTTTTGAGTATGTCATGGACCCCCTTGGCAGTCTGGTAAAACCTATAAAACTCTTCTCAGAATAATGTTTTAAAATGCATAATCTCCTTCCTGGAGGCAGGGTGTTGGATACATTATTATTATCATTAGTCTGGATTTGTGAGCTCATTGTTCTGGGGAAGCTTCTGGTAAGGAAAATGCATGGAACAGGGTTTGACTCTCAGGCAGCTTGTAACCTTAGAGTTGCCTGGCACAAAGTGCATGCTTAAAAATGTTTATTGAATTAATTCCAAGTTCTGTGCCCCATCTCCCAGTCTTAACACTGTTCTATAAGGAGAGAGGGAGAATGGATTCATGGAGTGAATTGCTAAGCAACATGGAAATAAAAAGACTCTTTTCCTCTCTTGGGAAAAATGTGAAGTGAAGGTGATTTCATATTTGGTTTCATATCCAATACAGTGAATGTCTGTTGTTGTTGCTTTGAGGTAAGTAGCTCCCTACTTGATTTTTACAAACTGATGTAAAATCAACACATATTCTTACTTGAAGAACAGTGTTAAGACTAGGAGAAAGGAGATGAGGAGAATAGCGAGGTCCTGGAGAATGACTGACATTCTATCCATGGAGCCTAGGGTAGCATGGGATACCTCTAAAAATCCCTAAAAGGTTCAAAGTGTGATGATCCAGCAGGTCATGGACCTGAAGGGAGACCTGAGGTAAGCAGAAGGCAGAAAAGGTCTTACTTGCTGATGACTAGAGTGGCAGCTGGGTGGCAAAGAGAGAGAACACAGGACTTGGAATCCATTCATCAATAAGCATTTTTAAGCACCTAGTATGTGCCAGGCATTGTGCTAAGCCTTGGGTTCAAATCTGACCTCAGACACTTATTAGCTGTTTAAGCCTGGGGCAAGTTACTTAACTGCTATCTGCCTCAGTTTCCTCATCTGTAAAATGGGGATGATAATAGCACTTACCCACCACCCCAGGTTGTTGTTGAGAATAAAATGGGATAGTATCTGTAAAGCACTTTGCCAACCTTACAATGCTATATGAACGGTATTGTTGTTGTTGTTGTTATTGTTGTTATTGTTAATCAATTCAATTGCTTCCAGCTGTGATAAGAGAGAAGCCAGGACAGAGGTAATGTAGAGTCAGAATACAAGGGGTATCATCCACAGGGACAGGGTACCAGACAGTGAAGTGAATGGGTGTAGACAGGAAGGAAAGCCCCCAAAACAAAGGTTAGGCAATTGCAGTTTAGTCAAAGCCAAAGAGAATAAATCAGTCAATCAGTAAGCATTGATTAAGCACCTACTATGGGCTAGCCAACTCTCTAAGGCTATGAGCTGTGGGAGAGTCGAACCCTGTTCCATGTGCTTTCCTTACCAGAAGTTTCCTAAAACAATGAAATCACAAAATCCAGACAATAATAATAATAATAATGATAATGATAATGTACCTAGCTCTATGCCTCCTAGAAAGGAGATTATAGTCTTAGGTGGGGGTAGGAACCATGGCAGACATGTGGAGGAAAGGGCATCAAAGGATCTGGGCCCTAGATCAATTTAAACTTGGCAGCATCTAGAAGTGCTGGAATTCCTCGACAACTTTGCCTGCTGGATTCTTAGAGTGACCCCGGGAAGCTCAGTGATGACTACTCTCACCCCCAACCTTACAGAACCAGGCAGGGATCTTTGGCCCTCATAAAAATATACATCCCTAAACAAAGCTCAGTTTAAACATTTCAAAAATCTGACAGTGAGGGACTTCTCTTTAAAAGGAGTCATTTCCCCCAGAACTGCTCTGATTAATATCTTAAAATGAAATGGCATGGGGTGGAGGGGTGATTGCTCATTTCTTTCTTAATCCCTCCCAGATTGAATCAGATTTCTCTGCACTGTTATCATACACAGCAGCATGACAAACCACAGTGAATTTTTTTGGGGGGGAGGTGGAGATGGGAGTGGGAGGAACGAACATGAATGGAAAATAAAGAAGTGGGGCATTTCTGACACACTGAAAACATACAGATGATTCACTCAGCTCCTTACCTTTAGATTGGCACGAGATCTGGTTGTTAAGCATTTCTTTTTCATCTTTCAAAAGCGCATTTTCTTGTTCCAGGTCCAATACTCTCTAAAAAAGAACAACACATCCCCGACAACAGGGAAATGCGTTACCTCTTGTAATGCCAGCCAGCTCAAGGTCAGGCTCTTTCTTTATGGGGATTTTGTTTCACCTGGTTGAATTTGAATGTTCTCTTTTTTCTTTCTTTTTTAAAACAAACCTCCTTCTCCCTTGATTTTTTTCCCCTTACACTAGGAAAAAAAAACCAACCCTAAAACTTTCATAAACCAGACCTGGGAAAGTGAAATGTCTTTCATGATTTTCTATTGTTAAAAAATGTCATGTAAAATATCATTATAAAAGGCTGGGTTGAGCTAATTCCCCTGGTCTCAGTGTATATGAAAAGATAGGGTATCTCTTAGAACTGCAACCAACCCCCTCCCTTTTGTCTCCTGTCTTGGGAAATGGAGAAATGCTTCAGTTGAAGCTGAGACTCTCAATGAGCAGATTTCTTATAGTTTCTTCTTCATTTTCTTTGGGGACGGGGGGGGAAGGGAGTGGGGAATCAGAGTGAAGGTCAAAGCACTAGGAAAGAATAGGTAGCTTGCTACTAGATGCTGGTAGAAAGAATATCGAACTTTTCTTTACTCCACTATTCGGTATCAGGAGCCATATCAAAGGAATAAATGTATTGGAATGGCAAAGGACACAAAGTGTAAAATGGTGGGGGGAGCGTCTAAGGAGAAAAGGGAAGGAATTAAGAAAGATATAATAGAGGTTTAATACTGACATGTGTTCTGCTGGTAAGAATCCATTATAACATTCCAGAGAAGTTTCACTATAGAAATACAAGAGCTTAAAAACAAGAGGTTAAGAGCCTTCTCTAACATGAAATGAGTTGGAAACTAATGGAAGGCCATTCCATCTATGAATTCCTCTGGGTGCTCTCACTGATATCTCTCTACATAACCATCATTGCTGCCTACGGATTCATGCTGCAGGTAATTGTAAAATGCTTTACCAAAATAATTCCACAACACTCAGCATGGCCCTGGGGTGGGTAATGAAAGAGCCAACAGATGGGGAAACTGATGCAGATAGAAACCAAGTGATTTACGCATGTAGAATCAGTTTGACAAATGAGTCACCTTCACCTTCCCAGTTGATAGATCCTTACCATAAGAAATCACTATGTTTCTAAAGTGTGGCTTTGTCGTTTTCCTTCCTCTATTTTTTTCTTTTAGGCAATTGGGATTAAGTGACTTGTCCAGGGTCACACAGCTAGTAAGTGTTAAGTGTTTGGTGTGAGGCCACATTTGAACTCAGGTCCTCCTGACTTCAGGGCCGGTGCTCTATCCAATGCACCACCTAGCTGCCCCATCCTTCCTCTATTTTTGAAAGTGAATTTTTATCCTTATTTACCTTTTAATGGAGACCAGACCGACATGTGTGGCACTGCTTAAAGTCAATCAATAATTATTTTTCACACACCTATTGTGTATAGGGTACTTTGTGGAGGACATAAGGATGAAGGAGGCATTCTTTCTGGTGTCAAGATGCTTATGATGTGGCAGACATGAGAGAACAGTGCTAATCTGAAGGAAGGAGCAGAGAGCCACATCTTATTTCACATGTTTTAATCCTTATTGCTCCCACCCCACTTCAGTCTACAGTCCTTTATGTCAATTTAGCCCTAGGATTGACTTGGACAAAAACGGCACACTCTCTACATATATAGAAAAAAACTGAAGCCCTATCTCGGTGGCTACCACTGAGTCTCATGGTTGGTAATGCAGGCATCTTTTGCTTTATAGAATCTACGCGTTCCAATAAGGTTGTCTGGAAAGTGAATTCTACAAGCCAAATTCCACCTAAAGGCTGTGAAAGTATCAGTTATACAGAGGCAGTGTGCCATAGTGGGAGAATCAGAAGACATGGGCTCTACCCGTGGTGGAATTCATCATTTCTATGCAGCAAAGGATACCTGTGTTACCTGACTTCAGAATCAATAGTAATATCCAAGGTCATTTTTCCATTTTTCCATTGCATATTGGTTGTTGTCCTTTGTTATCAAAGAGGACCAAAATGACATCACTACTTTGGGGTCAAGGTACAGTGTGTCTGATTGCGGCTGATCAGACCAGTAGGAGCTTGGAAGGCTCTACCACACATCAGGCACTAATAGTCTACGTGAACATGTAGAACGGACATGTCTCTAAATTTGCACATCTCACATACTATATTATATATGTATATTAATACATGTATATATGTGTATTATATAGTATATCATGCTATGCTAAGCTATTCTATACCTAATGTATATACACACATATGTATGTGATATATGCACATGTGTGTATTGTACATACTCAAGTAAAAGAAGGGTTCTAGGAACTGAAAGGTCAGTCAAGGACCCTGCAGAGATAGGAAAAATTATTATCTAGAGTTGGGACAGGGGAGAGAGATTTTAGAGTCAGAAAAGTGCTTTAAAGGAAAACTTAACTGCCAGGTGGGGGACCACAACTCATCAGGCAGCATCTGAGGGTCTGTCCAAACCCCACCAGAATTGTTGCCATCTTAACTTCTATCAGAGCAGAAACTATCAAGCTATAGTCTCTTAGGAATTTTTCTCTCCAGCGTGAAGACATTTACAATATTGTATTTTAATTCAAATGAGGACTCTAATAACAATGGAATAATTTCTCCTGCAACATCCGTAGGAAGTAGATGGTAGAAGTATAATTCTATCCCCTTTTGTAGATTTAGAAATTGAGGTTCATAGAGTTTGATTGATTTGTCCATAGGCACACAGCTAGGAACCATGGGAACTGAGACTGGAACACAGGTCCTCATTACATCGTGCTGTCTCTTAACAATGAGACCTTAGGTATATTTGTATAGCACTTTAAGTAGAATTTGGTTTCCAGAATTTTACTTTACAGACAGCTTTGTCAGAATTCATAGTCATATAAAGCAAAGAAGCCTAGTACTATCAGACTAGAGAATCAGTAGTAATATCATCCAAGATAACTTTTAAAGTTTTCTATTTTTAGTAAGCCCATAGCCTGGACATTGATACCAGAAGCCTGAGAGAAGTTAGGCTAGGTTTAAGTGGATTCAAAGAAATTAAACAGAGATGCATCATTTTTCAAATTATGAAGTTAATAAAAACATTTAATTGAATGGTTATATTTTTATAGGAGCTAACACTTAATTCTTAATCTATCTTTAAGGTGTCTTTAGAACAGGATTATTAATCTTTGTTGTATCATGGACCCTACTGGTTTGGTGAAGCCTATGGATCCTTTCTTAGAATAATATTTTTAAATAAATGAAGAAAGGATTAATTTTAGTTGGAGGTTAGTGAAAATAAAGATGTAATTTTTTCCATCCAAATTCATGGGCCCCAGTTTAAGAGCCCCTGTTTTAGAAGATACACCCATATCAGTGTTAATTCCATATTAAATGGGAAATATCACTGATGCTACTTTAAAAGTATCTTGCTAATTTATAGCATTTTCCTTGAAATGTTTCTTGTATGATAGTTATTCACATCCTTTCCCTTATTATGTATGTTCTTTGAGAGTAGGATCTGTGTCATCCTTTTCTTTTTTTACACTCCCCAGGGTAGCGCAGTGGCTTGCTTTTCCCCCCCCTCTCTACACACACACACACACACACACACCCCTAACCTGTGATTTCACTAGTAGGGAATTGTCAGTGAGGAAACACCCTTTACCAATGCAACTGAAATGTACAGTCTTATTAGGGTCTGAACAGGGACCACTGAGAAGTTAAGGGGCTTGTCTGGGTTTGTGAAGGGGCGTAGTAAAAAATAAAGCTGTAAAAGTGAGTAAGAGTCATATTGTGGAACATCTTAAATTCCAGGTTTGTATTTTATACCACAGGCAATGGGGAGCCATGGAGGGTTTTTGAGCAGAGGAGTAACATTTCAGTATGTGTCAGAGGCGAGACTTGAACTCAAATCATCCTGAATATAATTTACTATTTAGCCACTAAACTATGCTAATTTCCACAGTAGAAATAATGAGCATTTTCTGAATCAAAGAGTTGAATCCAAGGCTAACAATGCTACTTTTTAAAAGAGGTTACAGGTCTTAATTTAATAGGTGAATGTAATTTAATTTAGAATTATGGTGACAAATGTCTTATGGATGCAAACAACACCTTATACTGTACAATTCACGGGACTTTCCCCTCCCATACTCCCCTTTCCTCACCTCACCTTGGGATAGCTTTCCTTGGCTATTTCAACATAAATCTGAAGAATGCTCCTTCAACATATTTCATACTAAATCCAAAGAAAGCAGTGAGAGCTTTGCTACTTGAGTCACAAATAGATCATCATCTACACAGAAATCAAATAAAAGATCTTTTAGAGGAGAAAAGGAAATTAACTTTGACAAAAGTGACATTGGCAGAAGGATTAGAAATTGATTTAACAAAGATAACTGACCATAATATGAAAATGAAGTCAAATCCCAAGAGGATAATTTTTCTATGATCTCAGACTAAGCAAATTATCCTAATTTAAAATGTGTGACTAATCCTTTTCTAGAGTTTTAAGTCAATTTGTAAATTTTCAAGCTAGTCCACTAATGTGTTTGACCAGTCAAGTGATTACAGAATGCATACAGTGGGTTCAGCACTGTACTAGGCACTGGGATTGCCTGCTTTCCAATGTGTGGCCTAGAAGTATGGGGCTGTACATTGACCAGAGATGAATAAATGATGCATCTATGTCCATTACTTAATGTGGCATAGTGCAACAGGCGCTGAACTGTAGCCCAAGCCTAGTTCTGCGTGGGGTATTGTGGAGCTTCGGGCAGTTCTTCCTTCCTCTCTTTGGCCCTCAACTTCCTCGACTGCAAAATAAGGATGGAGAAGGGTTTGGATTAAATCATCTCTAAGGTCCTTTTCATGGTGATATTCTGGATTTGGATTCTAATTCAATATTTAATAATTCACTGTGGATATTCTAGGATGACAGTAAGATCTAGGGAGGTGGTTTGACATGGGAGATGATAGGAATAGCTTGGAAGCAA